ACACATCGAGCACTGGATTCCCATCCGCGTCCACCTGGTGGAAGCAGTAGTCGCGGAAGAGCTTGAGCAAGTAACGCTCCCCATTCTCGGACCAATTCGGGTCCCCGTTCAGCTCATGCCGCTCGTTGATGGCAGCGAGCTTGAGCATCAGCCGGAACTGCCTGCCGTTCTCTAGCGCCGTGCTCAGATGAGACTTATCTGCGTCTCTACCCTGTTCCTCCACGTCGAGCTGCGCGAAGGCATGCAGCGCGATGCCGCGCATGAACTCCTCGATACCCTTTTGGGCCGGTGGCTGCTGCGGTGACAGAAGCCAGAGCACAGTGTCCCTGAGCTCCACCGAGTACACCCTGCTCAGCTGCTCAATCGATCCATTGATATTATTCAGGTTGGACGGATGCGTGTTGGTCGCCAGTGACAGGATGACCCGGCCAAAGTTAATAAAGTCCTCTTGCTGAAGCTCTGCTACGGGGCGTCGGGCCTCATAATGTACGACGTCCAGGATAGAGCATGCCCCGAGGCGTATGCGGTTAGCTCGCGCATCTGTCAGGATGATCTTGGTCACGTCGATGCAGCGCGCGGCGAGATCCTTTCCGTGGATGGCTTTCAACGCCGTCGCAATCTGCGTGATATAGGACCACAGTACGGACTCTTGAATCGGATTCTTCTGCGCAAAGCGCCCTCCGTGGGAGGAGGTTGCTAGGTGTGCCTCGGCCAATGTCTGCGAGAGCGGATGAAAGTCCTGCACGAAGACCAGAGAACTGTCTCCAAACATCCTGGTCGTAAAGGCATCGTGGGTCTGGACCACGTTGGCACTGACGATGCGCCTCCACTCCTTGACAGACCGAATGGCGTGCTCGTTGCTCAACCTGAAGTCCTGCAGGCGCCTCAGACAGACGACGGTTCCTGTCCGTGTCGCCTTGGCCTTGTAGACCCAGCTGTTGTATCCAAAGATGCTTGCGTTCTTCCTATGGGTTGTGTCAAGGGGTACGAGCGAATGGTAATTGTCCAGCTGTGGTAGCTGTGAGTTGGGCATGACCTGGTTCGCGGCCTCATTCTTCTTGGTCAAGTCGATCCGCACGTCCTCGGGGATGAAGAAATCCGACGTTGTTCGTTCGTAGGGCTTCAGGTTCGTGGGCTTGGGCCCCCATGTCGAGTATAGGTGGTGCTGCAGTGGCTGCAGCGGGGTCTGATAAGCGTTCTGGCTCGGGAAGAAGCCAGCACCGGCCCCCAGGGCGGCCTGGTCATCTGCGTATGGGTTAAAGGGCGTCGTAGGTAGGCTCTGGCCGACAGCCTGCATGCTGAAAGGATCGAATGCCACGGCTGCTTCATGCGCCGTCGTGCCGTTCGAGGGGGTTGCGTTGTTGGCTACGTCGAAGCTTGGGGTAAACTCGCGGATGGCTGCAGGGTTGAACGACGGCACTGATGCATCGGATGAGTCTGTTTGCGCAGCTGCTGGTACCCGTTAGCGTGTCAGGTCACTTGTTGAGCAGGTGACGTCCTACCTCCAAAGCCACGCGGCGTGAACGACGGTGCATTGGCAGCTTGTGTGCTCAAGGTTGCCTTCTTGGATGCCGTAGTCGCAGGCGTGAATGTGGGCGAATCGACATTTAAGGCTTTTTTGGATCTGCAACAAGGCCAATCGTCAGTCCCGCTCCCTGCAGAAAGCCCTGCGCACCGGGCGAGACTCACAAGTCTGATGGTGATGATTTGTTTTTATTCTGATCATGGCTGAACGCACAGCCCTGATCCTCATATCGACAGTGCCCGTATATAAGTACGTTTCGACATAGGGTATCCTTGTTCTCCACTGATAGGTCATGTCAATCGCAACGCTCGCTCGGCCATAGTCTGGTGGTGCGCATACCTCGCCCCTTAGGCCTTGGAGAACCGACCTGACGACGGACGTCGTTGTTCTGATACCGCGTTGTCGCCATTGTCTATCTTGGCAAGTCGCATCGATTTCCGCCTCCCGTAACGGAGCTGTAGTGTCTGGGAGGACCGAGTCAACGCGGGTGGCTCAATGGTGCGGTCCCGTCGCGTCGCTGCGTCGCTGTCAAGGGAGGGCTGCTGACCTAGCTTGGGCAAAGTCCCATGGCTCGATTGATCGTGGCCGAGGCCTCAGCATGGGGATGCAAAGCTGCAGTCCAGTCGTCATGCGATCCGTACGACGGCCGGTATACGATTGTTGTTGTTGCGGGTGTTGGGGGGTAAAGCTGATGCTGTTGGCGTCCAGTCGCTGGTGGGGGGATACGCAAGTCGGACGGCGGGCGATTGCGGCGACGGCTTGGCGGAGGGCGTCCGTCTACTCATGTAAGGTAGGTACCCTGCCTGCCAAAATCTGCAGGAAAGAACATCCATGCCCGCTGGGCATGAATGACGCCGCACCCGCTGCTCAAGCCACACGCACAGCCACAGCTCCCTTACCAGCAACGTCACCTCGGACCTGAAGCTGTCCTCACCTAACCTAACTTTACCTGCGTGCAGTTGGAACCGTGTCTCTTAGCCACCTACCGAAAGCTATTTGTCGCCAAAGAATGTACAGAGACATGGGCTGACTGAAGTGAGAGCCCCGAACCGCCTGCGATACAGCTATTCCTCGTTGTCAATTTCAACATTTGATGCCACGGTTGCTACTACCAGCACAGCAAGCCCCGAACACGCAACACACGACAACACACCAGACGCAATGGCAGATCCAAACAACGACGAGGACCTGTCTGCTGCCCAGCAGGACGCTTTGCAGCAGTACATTGCTGTCACCAACCAGGAACCCAAGGATGCCATCCCCCTACTCCGACGGTCTCAGTGGAACGTCCAGGTACGTCAACTCGAGGACAGCCTCACTAGCCCGTGTTCGCGCATTCTGACAGTTGCGCTCTATAGATTGCCGTCGCTAAATTCTTTGATGGCGAAGGCCCGGACCCTGTTGCCGAAGCGCTAGCCGCGCAAGACATCCCCCGCGAAGCCGCACGTCACGAGAATCTGCAAGAAAGCCTATGGGCTGCTGAAGTAGCACCCTCGCGAGCCCGCCGACCGGGTGCACAGACCGACGCAGCGCCTCGCATCGTGCCACAGCAACCTGTCACCGGTCGGTCACCATGGCTGGTAGGTCTGCTCCTTGCGCCGTTGAGTTGGAGCTGGACGGCCGCCTCGTCGCTATTCCGCACCTTTGTCTACATCCTATCCTTCCTGCCGGCCCCACTGCGCCCGCGCGCACTGACGAGTGGGCCGGCCGGGCTGAAGAGCAACAGCGGTCGGCGCATGCTGATGCCGCGCGACACAGCAGCTCGCTTTAAGAGGGAGTTTGACGAGGAATACGGCGCGAACGAGCTGCCTTTCTACGAGGGTGGCTTCGCACAGGCACATGATCAGGCCAAGAAAGATCTCAAGTTTCTGTTGACGGTGATTCTCTCGCCTGAGCACGACGACACCGAGTCCTTTGTTAAGGAGACGCTCCTAGACCCTCAGGTGGTACAGTTTGTCAACGACCCCACCAACAACATCATACTCTGGGGCGGCAATGTCCTGGACTCGGAGGCCTACCAGGTCTCGACCGAGTACAAGTGCACCAAGTTTCCCTTTTCGGCTCTCATCTGCCTGACGCCCAAGGAGGGAAGCACGAGGATGGGGGTCATCAAGCGACTGGTCGGACCGACGCCGGCGGCGACCTACCTGTCCGAGATCCAAGCTGCGATGGAGAAGTATGGCGGCGATCTGGCCAACGTGCGCGCAGAGAGGACTGCTCAGGAAGTGACTAGAAGCCTCCGAACCGAGCAGGACTCTGCCTATGAGCGATCGCTGGCCATCGACCGCGAGCGCGCTCGTCAGAAGAAGGAGGCGGCCGAGGCCGCAGCCGCAGCCGAGGAGCGTGCGAAACAAGAAGCCGCGCAAGCGGCTATCCTGGAGCAGAAGCGAGCACAGTGGCGGACATGGCGCGCCACGAAACTCCACCCGGAGCCGCCAGCATCTGACAAGAGCGTGGTGCGCGTGGCACTGATGATGCCCGAGGAGACGGGGGCTGGGCGCATCACGCGACGCTTTGCGCAGGATGCGGCTATGGAGGAACTGTATGCCTTTGTCGAGTGCTACGGGGTGACGACGGATGGCGGGGAGGATTACGAAAAGCCTGAGGGGTACGAACACGAATACTCATTCCGGATTGCGTCGACGCTGCCACGTGAGATCTACGAGCCCAGCCAAACCGTCACCATGGGGGAGAGGATAGGGCGGTCGGGGAACCTGATCGTCGAGCAAATCGTGGCAGACTCCGACTCAGAGTCGGAGGGTGACTCGGAAGAAGATGCTTGAAGAGTCGAAGACAGCGGCACTAATATAGATTCTGTCAGTGTTCTCGCACAGAGACCTTCGGCCTCTCAGCATAATAATACAGCGATTACTGCTTCAAGTTCGGCTTGTGGAGATTCCCCAAGTCTCAAGTCTCGTTTGGTGAGGTCGATCGTGTGGCACAGTTCGCTGCCAAGAGAGTGGCTGCGACTGACGTGTGCTTGTGGCCTGACGGACGAGTAATCGGATTGCATTAGTTCCGAACATCGGTGAGTGATAAGTAACGAGGAGTCAAATGTACAGAATGTGTGGGAGGCGTCACACGCGTTCAAGGTGTCTTCTGTCTGACTCTGTCGTGCGTATGTGCGCGGCACTTGGGGGCTGTGCATTCCTCCCTCCACGGACCTTATTACGACTTCATGGACGAGGCTTTGATTGATTCCTATTTGGTTTGCGCCAATCTGGTCTCGCCTGCGCAGACTTGGAAGTCAAAGAGCTTCAGTCCTCACGACGCATCACGAATACTGACTGCTGAGCTACAGTTGAGGTGGCTGCGAGGACTATCTCAGTCTAGGGTAGTCATCAAGCAGGGACTGGACCCTGCACGACGAAATTGGCTTGGCGACCCCCAAGGCCAGGCAGGCAGCCCCCAGGACGACTGAGCGTGAACGAGGCCTCATTGTCTCCTCTCCTCCTCCCCATCCTCCAGTCGTCTCCCGATCCTCTGCGCTTCACGTCCAAACGCGGACATTCAGAGCATCAGCCACCCTGGCGCTGCGGCGCCTGATACCTTGTCCATTTGCATCTTTAGCGTTCAGCGTCGCATCCTGTTGCAAACTTCCCAACTGCTTACCTACCTGCCCAGTGCACCCACGGAAGCGCGCTCGCTCACCACCGGGAGGCTGTCGCACTTTGTGATTGTCGCCGTAGGATAGCGCCTACACCAGCGAGTCGCCCACATCCCAACCCGAATCGACAGATAGCGCCTGCGCATACGAAAGCGCGCGCGCGCAATACAACGACAGCAACAGCAACAGGGACCATGAAGTCCATGAAGAAGAGCCTCAACGTGGGCAAAGTCATTGGAAGCTTCAGGAAGCGCGCCGGCGGTCACAGCAGCAGCCACGATGCCGCAGACGAGTCGTCACCAGGTGCGGGGGCAGCCGGCTCATCGTCCCCCGCCGGGGCAGCAGTAGCCGCCTCTGGCAGCCCCGAAGCCAACGCGAGGGCGGCTGTCCAAGCCTTTTGCGAAATGGGCGGCAGCATGTCCCAGAGGAAAGGCGACGAGATTCTCCACCTCCCACCCATTGTCGACGCCGCCGAGTCGTCCCCCGCCGCCGCTGCAGAGTGCGCCCGCGTGATCCGCCGCTTCCTCAGCAAGGAGTACAACGGCAAGCCGGCGTGGCAGTACAACGCCCTCATGCTCGTGCGCATCCTCGTCGACAACCCCGGCCCCTCGTTCACCCGCAACCTGGGCGAGCCCGAGTTTGTCGAGACCACACGCAAGTTGCTCAAGCACGTGCGCGACACGCGCCTGCGGCACATGCTCATGGAGATGCTGGACGACTTTGAGCACACCAAGCAGTACGACGAGAACCTGCAGCCGCTCGTCCAGATGTGGAAGGCACAGAAGGAGGATGCCTTTAAGAAGAACGGCGGGCCGCCGCCCCAGATGATGCAGCAGCAGCGTCAGCAGGCGTACCAGCAGCCGCAGTACTACCAGCACCCGCAGCAGTGGCAGCCGCAGCCAGCACAGTATCGCCACTCGCAGAACTACGCCGCGCGTGCGCAGCAGTCGTCGAAGCGTCTCCCTGACCCCATCGAGCTGTCCAGCCGTCTCGAGGAGGCCCGCACATCCGCCAAGCTCCTGGAGCAGGTCGTCATGAACACATCACCCAGCGACATGCTCCACAACGATCTCATCAAGGAGTTTGCCGACCGCTGTCAGAGCGCCTCGCGTAGTATCCAGGGCTACATGCAGTCGGACAACCCCGTCCCCGACAACGACACGATGGAGAGCCTCATTGACACCAACGAGCAGCTCCAGACGGCGCTCAATCAGCACCAGCGCGCCGTCCTCAACGCGCGGAAACAGATGGGCGTAGCGTCCCCGCCCCAGGTCGCGACGCCCGACGCCCAAGGCAATGATAGAATCCTAGCCTGGCAGCGATCGCAGGCTGAGCTACACGAGTCTGGTGAGCACCCCGAGGATCCCCACATTGTCAACGGCAAGGGCAAGGCGACGGCTGCGGGACCCCTCGACGACGCCGCTGATGCGCAGGATCCCTTCCGTGATCCCGAGGAGCACCAGCGCCATCAGTTCGAGCCGTACCACCCCAGTGGATTCGGGCAGACGAAAGGTCCATCCTCAGCCGTGGCCGGTGCTGGCGGTGCCAGCTCTGCGCGGAGGAGAGACGTCGATGGCGTGTCGGAGGAGGATGACCTGTACGACGCGCCGTCTGCCGCTGCCAAGGAGAAGGACAAGGCGATGGAGCCGATGCGCCTGTCGTAGGACGTTGCGGTGGACATTGGGCTTGCCTGCCGAAGTACAATCACGGTCATGAAACATACAATACCCGGCCATTTTGAGAAGAACAGAATTGATTCCCCTGAGTTGCCTTGGGTCTACTGACTGAGTGATGGTCACTATAATGATGCCGCCACCACGTCCCATGCAGTACGAGTGTCTCGACCATGCTGTCCTCCTCCCGTCTCGGAGTTGTTGACCTAACAGGTGTCGGAATATAGTGCTCATCGGAGTACGGATATGCAGCCTCACTATGCAAAGCGGGCTATACATACGCGCTTGTCCCAAAGAGGTAATTTCGACGAACAAATTGGCTGGGGCCAAAGCCATGCCACGTCTGCGACTCTGCCGCGCTCTGCAAGAGGTCCATGCGGTTGGATGTTCCTGTGGAGTGGAGATCCGAGAGGGATTTGAAGTCCATCTTTTTGGGTTCATGTAATGCGTGATGATGATACGTAGCTGGAGTCCTTGTTGTCCCCTGCGTGTTTCGTTGTTACCAGATGACTGGGACAGGGTCTGCTGGTAGAAAGTACAAGCTGATGGGTTGGGTTGAGACGTACGCTCATTTCCCTTGACCGCAACACTGTTGTCATTCATTGACACATACCTCTATTTCTTGCCAGACACTCTCTGCCTTTATAATTCCAATAGAGTTCGGGAACATACGATAATAGTATAAGCATCACCCGCCAGCCTCGGGACAGCTCCACTATCTCTCCGCGAGACAAGCGGGTCGCGCCTGTGATTGGCCGGACAGGCCCTGCAGATGCCTCTTTCGGACATTCTTGCGAAACAAGCGCCTTCAAGTGAAGCCTCGATTCCTGCTGCTCTACGTATGTACGTCGTCCCCTCTGCCTTGTGTCCTGACGCTGCCGTGGTCCCAGCCTCTCCTTCATGGAATAAATACTACGGTAATTATATACCGAATGTGCGAATTAAATAGCTTAGACAAGAACTGTCCTCGACTGGGGACCCTTCCTGGCCACCTGGCCACTGCCCGTCTCTCCACCTCCTCAGCCAGACATCAGACATGGCTTCTGCCGCCCGTTTTCCAAACCATCCGTGTCCATGTATATACGGTCCTGCATGTTAATAGGCCTCTTTGACCGCGCATTTCGCCTGCATTACCTCTTGCGGCCTAGTCATGCCTGATGGGTCGTATTTCACTACCTACATTGCCCACCTCCCTCTACTTTCACATACGTTGTACTCACCAACGCACTTGACGCATACCCTCCTCACGTCGTTGCTTTCATCCCTCCCTCCCTCCCGACTCCGATGGACCGCAACAGTCAGCTGAAACCATAACAAGCAGGACTGTGTGTACCTACTGTGCGCGCGAGCCCGCCCTCGGAATATCATGTCGTTGACCACGGGATCGGCCACCCTCTTGTCTCCTCCCCCTCTTTCTGCGCCCCATGCCCTTCGACCGAGGAAGCTACGGCGGAAGGCGTCGGTCCTGGACGGAACACATGTTGTTGTCGCCGCCAAATCGATGGCCAGTCTGGAGCACTTGAGCTCGGAGCTCCTGAGCTTGATATGTGAGCAGGTGGGTACGGTTGCTCGCGGTCTACGTACGGGACGAGGAACGCTGAAACGCTAACCTGCGCGTGTGTAGCTGCGGGGGATAGACCAGTCATCACTGTGGAACGTGCGACGTGTGTGCCGTCGTTTCGATAGCATTGCGACACCAGTCTCGTACCGCGTGTTCGAGCTGCATGACCGCGTCTTATCAGCCTGTTGCTGTCCTCGAGTTAAGCATCACGTGGAGCGATATACAAAACATATTATTATACCTGGGTCTCTCCACGCTCCAGGGGTAAGAGAAGTGCTGCGATGGGTAGGCACACTCAAGTCCATAACGTGAGTGGCTGGAAGAAAGAGTGGTCTTTTGTGGGATGAAGAAGAGAACTAACTAACAGCGCAGGTGGCGGTTTGAGGGCCATGGTCTGCAGGACGACGCCGGCCAATGGCTCCCCAGGGCTGTCCTCGACATTGAGCGAATGCGACAGGACGGCATAGAGCTACGGATCGAGGGGTTACCGCTTCGACAGTTTGATTGCGAGGCATACAGAAGAGCCATACCGAGCGACCTTCTCACATCCCTCACCATTGCCAGCCCGACACCGCCATTGACTGCGCGTCTCGACGCACTCAAACACCTCCTCGTACACGCACCCCATCTCCGAGTTTTTGCGTACCAGGATCGAGGGCAGGGGACACAGCTGGCGTTCGAGGCAGGGGAGCGCATGCCCCCCTTGAGAGAGCTATCGCTGCGGTCGTACGGGTGGAATCACACGCCTGAGCAGGTCCGGAAACACTGGGACTTTTCACACCTACAGAGCTTGGATCTTACAGCCGTGCCATACCACAACTTTCTGCAGTCGCTCGACTTTACGGCTCTGGGGAGATTACGCCACCTACACATAGAGGACTGGAGCGCACACCTGCCGGACAAGAGGAGGGAAGCAACACGACTCTTGCATGATTTGGTCAACCATCACCTCCGGGACTTGCGATCCCTGAGGATCACATGTCACATTGGGCTATTTCCCGTGGATGCGTTGCTACGGCACGGTCACTCCTTGGAGGATCTACGGTTCAGGGACCACGTCGGTTTCACAGACGACAAACGCTCTTGTCCGACCATGCGTGCCTCGGACTTGACCCGCGTCGCAGAGGGTCTTCCATGCCTGCGGCGTCTGGAGATAGACATGGACATCCAGGGACCTGAATCACAGCGCTTTCTTGATGCGCTCTGTCTGTGCCCGCGGCTGGAGGAGGTCACCCTCCATGTCCAGACGCTCATCACACCCTGTGGCGAGTCGATACCAACACACGATGTGGATAGGATCGCCAGCCAACGGATATTCAACCGTCTGCTCAGCCGCCAAAGACCCTGGAAGAGCATCACCATGAACGTGGGCGGCTGGCGCCGTGTCATGGTGCGTCGTCTCGACCCGCTGTGGCGGGAGTACAACGACATGGGCATCTTTGCGGAGCGCTGCTTCGTCCTGAGTGCGAGAGATGGGCGGTATGAGGTACGAGAGGAGCGGTGCATAGAGGCGGGAAGCAGCAGGGCGACGCCTGATATCGAGTAGGGTGATGGGGCGCATTAGAAGTGTCTATTGTACGGGAAAGGGGAGCTTAATCAGAGTCATTCAGGTCCATGGATGGCAGAAGGTAGATTTCATAGGCCTCTAGATGTCATCTACAAATATCAGTTGACACACTCCGCACTGCTATGAGCCCAAATAGGTCACAAGAGCCTCCTTCAGCCCCGACGGGGTCGTTCATGAAACGGGCAATGAGGGCTGAATTGATGAGGTCACGGACAAGACAAAGCAGAACGGGCATCAAGTTCACGATAGGTGGTCCTTGCGAGGATATGAAAGAAAACGCTTTCCAATTGTATTTGTCTTATATGTGGCAAATATGTGATCTTAACTACTTAATGATATCCCCCTTTTTTTGTTGGTGGACCTTGAGTATATATTGCATGTGCCTTATTTCATTCGGCGACGCGTCTTTTCATTCTGACGAGGACAGATCGCCCTTCTTATTTCTCAGTGCTGCCGCTCGAGGAGCCAAGGAACTCGCCAAACACTCTGTCCTCGATATCCATATCCTTGAACGCAGTGCCGGTGGCCTTCTTGGCACGGCGACGGAAGAAGACACGCTTGCCAAACTTCCAGAGCTCGACACCCATGAAGAAGAGGGCGGCGGCGACAAAGACAATGCCCCACTCCGCGTCGATAGGTGTGTGCTTGAAGACCTCCCTGTTGAGCACGGGGATGTAAATTATGGGGAACATGGTGACGATACCGGCGATAATGGCCCAGAAGAGGAACTGGTTGCGCCAGATATCGTGCATCCACTGGGTAAAGTACTTCTTGGAGCCGGGCTGCATGCGGAAGAAGGATCGGCGCATGTCAATCATCTCCCAGGCGAGGAAGAGGGCGAACCAGGTCAGGCAGGCAAACGTGGTGGCGCGGGCGCGGAAGACGGTGTCGCAGCGGCCCGAGTACGAGTTGTTGCAGTTGTTGCCGAGATCGCCGTCGCCGAAGCCGAAGACGACCAGGCTGAAGGCGCCCAAGCAGAGTGCGGCAATCCACACGCCGTAGACGACCATGTCAACCAGGAATTCCTTTGTGAAGACACCAGCCTTGAGCGAGTGAGGGGGGCGGTGCATGATGCCGGAGACAGCTTGCTCGAATCCAAGACCCATGTCGGGCAGACCACTGGTGGCCATGATGATCCAGATGATCTGCACGGGTGCCAGGGGAAACACGGATAGTTTCCTTTCATCCTTGAAGGCCAGACCAACCAGCAGGGTGAGCGCCTGAGCAACGTTCTCGGAAAGCACGTGGAGAATGAATTTTTGGATGTTGTCAAAGATACGTCGGCCCTCTTCGATGGCGGAGACAATCGAGGCGAAGTTATCGTCCGTGAGAACAATGTCAGAGGCGTCCTGAAAAAAAAAAACATGTTAGCGGGGGAGGCTATGATGAAATGGAAAGGGCAAAGACTCACCTTGGCGACATCAGAGCCGGCCTGGCCCATGGCAATACCGACATCAGCGCGGCGCAGAGAGGGCGAGTCGTTGACACCGTCACCAGTCATGGCGCAGAAACGCTTCCTGCGATGGAGGGCCTCAATCATGCGGACCTTGGTCGAGGGCGCACAGCGAGCAATAACGAGGGGAAGGACGGGGAGCTCATCGACCTGGTCGTCGGTGAGGGCGTCGAAGCTGGTGGCGGTCATGACCATGGCGGCAGCGACATCCTTGGCGACGTCGCCCATGCGGGAGGGCAGGATGCCGACCTCGATGGCGATGGCTTTGGCGGTCTCGGGGTGGTCGCCAGTCAACATATGTACGGAAATACCGGCCTCGTGGCAGCTTCGGACGGCGGGGGCAGATTCAGCGCGAGGGGGATCGTAGAGACCGACGAGGCCATGGAACATGAGGTCACCCTCGACGGTGGCCCTCTCAATCTCCTCGCCCTCCTTGATCTCGTGGTCGTAGGGCTTGCTGGCCAGGGCGAGGACGCGGAGACCCAGACTGGCAAAGACCTCCATGTTGCGCAGAATCTCCTGGCGGAACTCGTCCGTCATCTCGCCGCCGGAGTAGGTGGTGCAGATCTGGATGACACGCTCGACGGCACCCTTGGTGTAGGCCGTCATCTTGCCAGTGTCCGTGTTCCTCATGACGACAGACATGCGCTTGACGTCCGAGTCAAAGGGCAGCTCGGCAACGTCAGCCCACTGAGGCTTCTCGCCATGAGTGCGTTCCACACGGTTGGCGCCGAAGCGAGACGAGAAGACCTGGATCGCAATCTCGGTGGGGTCGCCGCGGGCCTCCCACTCCTCCGTCATCTTCTTCTTCTGGACAGTCGCAAGGTTGGCGAGGGAGGCGGTGTCAAGGAACGACGCAAGCGCCTCGGCGCCCTTCTCGACGTGAGCAGCGGGCTCGGCGAGGGTACCGCACGAGTCGCCACCGGTCTTAAAGTCGATGCGGTGGGGGGATTCGGTGTGGTGGCGGATGTCTCCGGCAGTAGGGTCAAAAGGCGAGCTGGAGTTCTCAATGGTGAAGGTGCCGAAGCCGGGCAGCCAGGCGTTACGGGCGACCATCTTGCCCTGCGTCAAGGTACCGGTCTTGTCAGAGCAGATATCGGTGACGGCACCCAGAGCCTCGAGGGACTTGAGGTTGCGGACGATGACGTTCCTCTTCACCATGCGCTTTGTTCCGGCGGCCATGGTGATGGTGAGCACGACGACCAAACTGGCGGGAATCATGGAGAGACCGGTGGCGACGGCGTAGATGATAACCTCCTTCCTGTTGCTGAATTTGTTGGCAGCGAGCACGATGATGGCACACACGACAGCAATACCAAACAGGAGGATGGCCAGCTTTGACAGCTTCCTCTGCAGCGGGGTTCCGACATTGACACCGAGGAAGCGGCCAACGGCATCGGTGGCTGTGAGGCCCCAGGCCTGGGCGTAACGATGGGGCTTGGCGGAGCCGTCGGGCTTGCGCTTGACGGGGCGGCGCTTGGAATCCTTCTTTCGAAGCTCGGCGGCGATGGCACCAATCTCGGTGTAGACACCGGTGGCGAAGACGATACCCTTGGCGCGGCCCTTGGTGACAGTGGAGGAGCTGTAGGCCACGTTAAGGCGGTCACCGGGGCCAGTCTTCTCCTCGAACGTCTCGTTCTCCTTCTTACGGACGGGCAGGGACTCTCCGGTTAGGAGGGCCTCGTCGGTTTCAAAGTTGACGGCCTCAAAGACACGAATGTCCGCGGGGATAGTGTCACCAGTCTTCAGCTCAATGAGATCACCGGGGACAATGTCGCCCGAGGGAATAGTCTTGACCTCGCCACCGCGGACGACACGGGCTGTCGGCGAGCTCAGCGAGCGCAGCGAGTCCATGGTCTTCTCCGCCGAGTACTCTTGGAAGAAACCGACAATGACGTTGAGTGCGATGACGCCGGTGATGACGCCACCTTCAATGTAGGAACCGATACCGAAACTGACGGCCATGGCCATGATCAGGACCAGTGTCATGGCATTGGCCACCTGGGCGACGAAGATGCGGACGGGTGACACGCCCTTGGCGTCACCGAGGTCGTTGGGACCGTACTTGTCGAGGCGCGACTTGCCGTCGTCGTCACTCAGACCCGAGTCGACGTTGGCGCCCAGCTGCGTGGCCACCTCGTTCACGGAGAGGCAGTGGGCCGGCGCCGACATGGGCTCGTTCGCCTGGCCGCTCACATGGCTCTCGGCGGGGCGCTTCTCTTCCTGACCCATGTTGTTGGGGTGCGAAGTGGGTGAGCGCCTGGGTGTGTTCTTTCTTCACTTGCCAATCCCACAAGACTGTCTTGTGTTGCTATGCTCGAGTTTATATGTTTGGTGGTTGTTGTGGTTGCGGTGATGATGAAAGCGTGGCGAGTAACAATTTCACTCCATCAAGGTTGCAATCGACCGGCAGACAGGCTGTCGATGGATGTGCTGGGAGGGGACGGTCCCAATTGAATGAGACGCTGAAGCAGCAGATTGGTAGGAGAGACGGGAGGAGGGAGTGAGTTTGGATATCTGAGCCTCTCTCCAGAAATCGGCTACAATCAGACTGACAAGAAGAAGAGATGAGGGGGACAGTCCAAGAGGAGGAGGACGGGGGCGGCTCAACTTAAGGATTAAGGTTGTCCGGTAGCAGCAGGAGACTAAAATTTAGCAACGACCGTCATCGGCAAAGGCCGTGGGCCACGCCAAGAGCGAGGCTCCGCCGGGGCTGGGCAACTGATGCAGCGATGAAGCACGATCCCCACAGGAACCTCCAGCCGCCCTGATCCGCTACCGCGCAGTGCTGCAGCCGTTTGAGTAAGTGACTTGCTTGGAGATTGCACGTGCTGGGGAAGGTGAATAATGGCGCTTTTCCTTGGCAGTTTGTACGTTCGTACGTAGGATAGCCGGTCGGTCCCAGGTGAAACCCGCGAGCGCGGTGACGCAGAAGGTTGGAATGCGGCCCTCCATCCTCATCTTCACAGGCTAATTACTTCATTACTGTCTCTGTGGCGCTTTCGTCGTCGCGTTGCACGTGGCGGGCAGGAGCCAGCCAGCCAGCCAGGAAGAAGACTATTAGGTATCCGTATCCGTACTGTCCTAGTCTATCAGGAGGAGGGGCGGGCAGGTACGACTAGACTCCATGTCCTCGGACATGCGAAAATGAGGCGGGGGCGTAGCGAGATCATGGCATTGTAATTGTGACTCTACAGTAGACTAACCATCTAGCGCATCTGCTACGGAGCAATGATAACAGGCAGTGCTGAAGAATTTTCCAGACCGACAGACGTGCATGTTCGAAAGCCTCTCACGAAGATGCTCACTTGGCCGGTGAGTGAGCACTGAGCGCTGAGGAGGTCCTGCCCTGCCCCAGTCGCACGTACTCCGTCCGCATGCATGACTCCACTGATATGATTGGTGTCTGGCCGTCCCCGGTCACTTTTGGCGTTGCCGTCGCGTCGAGACAGATCTGACGTCTCCACGAGCTAGTCTGACCGTCTTAGCGAGAGATTTTGATTGGCTGACCGTCTGCAAATGCAAGCCACTCTGCTCTGCCGTCCTAACGAGTCATGCTCATTGGACAGAATCCTGCATAGTGGACCTATCGCTTATCCGATTGCTCGAGTGCTGCCCCCAGGCAGTTCATGTTCACTTATCAGCACCGACGTAATTCTCAATACAAGGCCCTGGCCCCTACGTCAGCGACAATGGTAGATGAATCCTGGAGTGACAAGGTCTGAGCCAGTTCGCGACGACCATGTTGACTTGACGCAGGTGGCTCCTCAGCCGCTTGCGACCAGAGTCGCGGATGGTGTCTCAGACCTGTTCTTCTTTCATGGTCGTCTTCGTCCCCTCGTCTACCGTGGTGGGGATGGGGCTCTTGTCAATCTGTGTCATGTCTTTGGTGGGCTCTTGGGGAATTACGACACCGCTATTTTAGGCCGACGCAGAGGCCGATACAATCTTTCTAGACTAGGGACTAACGTCGTAGACTCCTGCATTTACTCCACTGCACGGCACGGCAACTTTGACCCTGAATAGCTGCAGAAAGCACAATGTTCAATGGCACAATGGTTGCGGACGTATTTTTAGGTGAGACGCACGTGCAGAAAAACCGCATCTGGACAGTCTATTGTCTCTAGTCTACGCCGTACCTGGTAGGGTCTTTCAGGGTGAGCATATCCATCTCCTGGACTGCCGGAGATGCTCGACAAGCACAGGTACTGCTACCTAACCTACAGTATTGTAGATAGATGGTCAACAAGGGCTGCAGGCAGGTGCAATATGCTTTCACGTCCGTCTCCAGTCTTCAAATGCATAACAGAAGACATAACAATCCTTTCGTTGGCCTCCTAATCTAGCAGCGATCTTGTTCCAGAGGGCAAGGAAATTAGGTCGTCGCCCGCCCCCACTTCCCTCAACGCCAGCTGGGGCCATGTTTCCTCACCAGCAGCCAAGGCCACAGATCGACCATCAATGCATGATGCTCCCATAATGGGCAGCTGACCGCCAATATGATCAACGTCGGCGTAGGGCGATCACTCGAAGCGGAAAAAAAAAATCATGCAAGGGGACTTGTCCGAGCGTGGAGCCCCAAGTTCCAACAAAAGCCGACCAACCTACCCCATCGTCTCAGCATGCGGTCGCCATGCAGCTCGGTGTGTCAAGAAGCCTGGCGTCAAACCGGTGGACGGCTTCTAGAACAAGATGGCTGGTTATTTCGGTCAACGGTCAAAAAGCCCGGCAGTTGGATTCATCGCGCTATTTTTGGTCTCTAGGACGACAGATCGTGGTGACATGTCTCATACAGTAGCATGCATTCACAATCTCAAACAGCCAAAACCGCAGGCCACACACACGGCACACTGGGCCGGCGTCCAAATATAGAGAGCAATGAGTTTCGCAGAACCGATAGTGTGCCAAAGTATACATTGTTTTCCTAAAAGATTACCTGGTCGTGTGCGTGCTAGTGTCCTACTGCCGTTCTCCTGTCTGCCAACACCCCGACTCCCATATCCCTCTCCCCTTCGCTACCTGCCGGAACGCCATGGCCTTGTAATGTGTGATCATGAGAGTAACTGAAAGATATTCCAAGTCCGTCCACTGTAAAAAGAGCTCCTGGCACCCAACACATCAATGTGAAGGTCTGGGGCTCCGTCCCTTCCACCTGGTAACGTACACCAGCCCCCGCAAGCGCGTTGAGCACTTGCTGGCTTACAACATAGCTAAAATCCTCATACGGTGGCGCCCTTCCTCTACAACGAGGCAATGTCATACGTCTTGTCCAGGACAGCCTCCTTTCTCTTCCTGGCGGCTGCATTCTTCGGACCCTTGGTGGCTCGGGCCCTCGCCTCTGCCGTGACCGTCTTGCGGATCGTCTTGGTCTTGAGCACGCCCGAGCCCGCCTTGCCCTTGACCGTCGTCGTTGTCGAAACGCGTTTCCTGGCAGGCCCGTTCTTGACGTAGGCCTTGACTACCCGGTTCGTCGACGTCTTCTTGACGACGGTCTTTCCCTTGCCCCGGCTCTTGGCGGACGATGCCTTGCCACCCAGAGCAGCCGCCTTTTTGACGGCGGACACGCCCTTCTTGATGGCAGTCGCCGTGCCGTGCGAGATCTTGAGGCCCACACTGGCCAATGCGCCCTTTGTGCTCGTGATTCGAGGCTTCTTGGCGTCTCGCCCGTCTGCCTTGCCAGACGGCACGTCACCCAACTTGCGCTTGCCGCCGGCCTTGACCTTGCCAGGTTGCTGGACCGCCTCGTGTCGGGTCTTGGGCCCCAGCACGCCGCGGCACTTTTCCTCGCCGCACAGGCATAGCTGCACGTTTTTGGCGGAGAAGGGGTCGAAGTTGTAGTCGTATGTCAGCTCGTCGCCGGTGTAGATGGGGTTGTCCCCCGCAAACAGTGCCATCCGTGGCTGGCCAGAGACGATCCATTTAATCATCCTGCAGTTGGGATTGCAGCTGTGGTTGACGAACCGCGCAATGCTGCCTGACGTGGCGTCGATGATCATATTCTGATCGAAGCTCATGAGATAGTAGCACTGTCGGGGTCAGTCTGGGCGAACCGGAAGCGAGGAAAAAAAGAAACTCACCTCGTTGTCCTTGTAAACTTCATTCATCCGGCGATCACATTCCTCTTCCGTGATGATCTCACCAGCGTACTCCATGATGATCTGGCCAGGCGCAAAGCCGCGGTTGGCTCGGACACCGTAGCCACGATCCGACGTCTTGACAACCTCCACGCCAACGCGATACTTGCCGCCCTTGTTGCGGCGCTTGGTGAGGTCGCGGAACGCGCGGTTCCTGCAGAGTTCGGGACCAACGTTGCAGTTGGTCTCATCACACTCGTACAGCATGATTCTGTTCTGGCAGCTCTCGCCGCAGGGGTCGTCATCTGTGGCCTTGCAGACACATTTGGACTGGTAATCATGAAAGTGGTCACTCTTGCGCCAAATGTCCTTGGATTCACCAATAAAGCGGTCTACCAAAAGTCAGCATGATGTTGGCCCAATGCAGATCAATCTGGACTCACTCTTGGTCATCTTCCTCCACTCATCCGGCTTCGGCTGGCCGGGCGGGAGCGGATTGCAGATGTTGAAGGGAAGCTTGAAGTCACGACCGGCAATCAGCGTGCGCAGGCCAGTGTACATGGGCAAAGGCATGACCTTGTTGACCACGCCGCTGGGCCTCAGCTCCGGCAGATCGTCGAGCTGCTTCTTCTCCCCAGGCGTCAAGCCCTTCAGGGGATCCTTGGGGGCGTCCTGGCCGGCATAGAGACCCTTGTCCAGGTATTTCTTGACGCGACGTTTCTTGCCCTGTGTGACGGGCTCCTCCTCCACCTTGGGCTCCTCAACAGCCTGCTTCGCCTTCTTGCGCTCCTCTTCCTCCTTCTTGACCTGGTTGGGATCCACGTATTTGCCATTGGACCACACAGTATAGACGACGGGGCTATCGTCGACGTGGGAGAACTCCTTTGTGTCCTCGAGACGGCGCAACTCGCGTGGAATATCCTTCTCGTTCACATCGCCGGAGCGGCGGCTGCGACGTGTCGAGACGCCCGGTCGATCAGCCACCACTGGCGTGGCCTGGCGAGAGGCAGCAGGGGCGGGCTGACGCGCCGCTACGCGCTTCGGCCTAGGCGAGGCTTCGGTGTGAGCTGTTGTTGTTGAGCCGAGCGAGCGCCGTGTGCGTCGCGTGGGCGTATCTCCCTTGGTTGTATCTGGGTCCTCCTGGTCGATCTCTGTGGCTCTGCCAATTGTGCGGCGTCGACGGTTCGAGACATTATCGCCTTTGGCGCGTCGTTTCCCGTGTCCAGCGGTGCCGATGAGCTGCGCAATGTTGTAGACAGGCTTCTTGCCGTCGCGGACACGTCGAGTGCGCTCGGGGGTGGCCGCTTCCGCTCTGTGGATGGCTTCGTCTCGTAGTTGCTGCTCGATCAGCGGCTCCATCTGCGAGGAGTCGGGCGAGTCGGCGGCGAGGTCGGCGACAGAAGTCATGTCATGCTTCGATGTGTCGGAGTGTAGGCTCGCGCTGTCGGCGACCGTGGTGGGCGGTGTCGAGTTGGACGACGCGACGTTTGACAGGGCGTCCAAGGGGGCCGCCGAGAAGCTGCGCTCAGGTGACAACGACATGGTCGCAGGTACTTGAGCTCACCCGCAGCAACAGCACTGCGACAAGTGCAGAGGCGAATGGTGTTTTGCGTGCACGCGTGTTCTGAGCAAATGGTGCAGGGGGAACAAGTGCACTGAGGTTGACGTGATGCGCTCCCTGACCAGACGCGCGACAATTGAGGCGCGAATCGGGAATAACGTATCCGTAGGATTGGAATGGGAATGGGGATGGGGAAGAGGTGCAGGGTTTCAGGTGGGACCAGCAGTAGAGCAAAGCAAACGCGCGTGGCCTCGCAGAGATGGCCGATTGCCACTGGTTGGTCAGCCCAGCTAGCCAAGTCATTTAGTATTGATTGCAATTCTTTGGGGTTATTATTGCTTGCTTACCTTTTCAGAGCTTCTCAGTGAGTAATCAGATTGAGTTTGATAGCCTTTCTTGGCTATGAACGCCTGGAGATGCGTAGGCGCCGATATTAGAAGGTTCAAGGTTTCAGATAGCTACACTCAGAGCGAGTAACTTGGTCAATCACGGTTTTGCGTAGCACAGCAAGGTGAAGCTTTTGTCTGTTGGTGATGGCACGCGTCACACAAGTCAGGCTTCGACGCGGTCTTTGCATGCGTTGGCTGCCTTGAGGGCGGTTCGTCGTAAGAAAGTGAATCAGGGAATACTTGATGTTGGCACGACACGCGCAACAATGACAGCGGTGACGAGATGCGTTGCGAGGTTGTGCGGTTGGATAGAATGGGTTGAGGGGGAAGGAGAGAGATCTAGGTGAAGGTGGGAGGAGGATGGAGAAAACGGAATATCAAATTACCTGAACTCCTTAACTGGTGACACGGAATCCTCGGTCGCGCATTGGCTGCTGCATGGGGATATAGCGAGAGGACTATCCGTTCCACTTCTTCAACTCCGCGACCCTTTTCTGTGACACTCGTCGAGAACGATCACTATCTTCTAGGATATGCAAAATTGCCCAAGAGGGAGTCGTGGATAAAACGCGCGTCACATGCGAAATCTACCTTACATTGTGCGAAGATAATTTGGCAAGTGTCAGTGTGTCACCATTCTTGACTTGGCCAGGTTGAGGCCTTGAGGTGACTATGCACGGGTTAGAAACACAACTTTTGTTGTGACTTGAGGCTTGCAATGCATTGGAGCAGTAATTCATGGGAAAGTCGCGAGTGGTAGTTAGGACTGAGTAGATTACAGTTATCCGCCAGCAGCCGGCGCGAGACACACTTGTGGCGTTGTTCGTCGTCTGCCGTTGCTGAAGATGGCCATTCGCGAAAAAAGGCGGTGGCCACATAATCGACCACAGACCAAAAGGGCCATGTGCTCAGTGCTGCCAAAGAATGAAATGTGTTTTGCAATGCTCGACCACCTCTTCCCAGAGGCATTTTCTTGAGCGCATCGTGGAGGTGTCAGCGCCACCGGAGACTTGAGAGCCAACCACACATCATGGACTGCCGCGTGGCCACATCAATTTAACGGAACAGAGGAAAATAGAAAGTCCCGAGCCAAAACTAGCTCTTGTTTAAATGCAAAGTGAAGCGCGTGTTCTCTCCTTACAGAGGCACAGCCGTTCTGAACCGTTGGTCTCTGTTGTTCCCACAAGCTCGCCCCCTGTCACTTGTCACCCAACCGCCTCGAACAACAACAACAAGAAACATGATGGCTTCAAAATTAGGGAGAGGTCTTCCGAATTGAAATAGACCCTGCCAGTCCCGACAATTGAAGCTCGACTCGACGCGCCAAGCGATTTACATCATCATCACAGTGGACATTCACGCCTCAGAGAGCAAGGGAGCAAGGTGACGGAATGTGTAACTGAGCAGATCCAGATTTTCCAGCCCCAAAGGCTTCGGGTATGATTTCTTGTTTCTTCCACAGCTTTTTTACCGTACCTATTGTCCCAATTTTTGTTGCAGAACACACTGTCCAGTGGTCGCGGCTTGACTCGCGCGAGCTAGGCGACGTTGCAGTATTGGACTCGTCGTGCACAAAATCGCCTCATCGCAGCCTCGAATTGATATGCCGGCTTTCATCAATAAAGACACAAACTGTCCAAGCGAAGAATGTCAGCTTGAAGCATCTACTCCAGTCATTCGGCGCGCGGCCTGTGACATGGCCACCAGAGTCTGCCAGCCTCCCGGTGAGATCTGACAGCCCCAACCCCTCATCACGTGCACTTATGTCAACATCGACTTCCAAGAGTCCGCAGGCCAATGTGCGAATTCTGATCTATTAGTGACAAGGAACTATTGATGGCGAACCATTGACCGACCTCGACGTGGACCCCTTCCCACAGCACAACTGCATCGCCCCTAAGTGCTCAAGATGCTGAACGAGCGTGTGCGGTTGAACACACAGCGATGTCGTTTCTGTTCAGCGATGAGAATTCCGAACACGGCGCCGCAATTTCTGTACTGTAATTCGTGATGCGAGTAGCTTATCAACCGGCCTTGCCTCGCGCCTGACCCGCAAAGACTGCGCCGCATTCAGCATGACCGTATCCTCGTGAGCCATCGTCTACGGTCAAATACAAGCGCAAAAGTACATGTATCAAGGTAGCTAATGACCATAAACACGCACGACTTCCAACAAGTGATGCAGGAAAAGCACATTGCCAAATATCGGTAGTTCAAACTGGCCATCTCTATTCAAATTAGGGTATATGGTGTAGGGCAACAGCAGTAACGCTCAGGTCTCTGTGGTATAATCAAACACGCTTCCGAATATGCCGATCAGGCTGTCTTCACCTCGGCAGCAGGCTTGGCCTGTTCGTCGGCTGCGGCGTTCTCAACCGTGGGCTCATCGACCTTGGGGGTCTCCTCCGTCTTGGTCTCCTCTGCGACTTTTTCCTTCTTCACCGCTGCAACAGGGGCCTCCTCCGACGTGGGCTCGACAGCCTCCTTTGTCTTGTCCTCCACAAACGACTGGAGCTTGAGCTCCTCGCCAATCTCCTGGACAGTGCCCGCCTGGCCACCATAGGCCTTGGGCAGGCTCGCACGGATGCCCTCCGGGAGCTCCGCTGCCAGAGACGTGCCGCTGGCCATGGGATGGAACTTTTTGAGGGTCGCCGGGGCGACAAACAACTTCATGGCGGCGTACATCCAGCCCATGATGACGGGGACGTTGACAAAGTACTTGTGTGCCAGCAGCTCGGGGTAGGCCGTGCTGAGAACGTTGATGGTCTCCTTGGAGGCGGCCTTGGCGCTCGGGTCCATGCGGAAGAAGGAGACGGAAACGTAGTCGTGGACCTGGATCACCTTGTACGGGTCCTCCTCACCGTCAGTCAGCGGGACGGTCGCAGCGTTCAGGTTGAGCTTCTGGACACCACGCTCCATGAGGGCTGAGCGCCACTTGATGAACCTGCTCATATCAGCACGAGGTCATTGCTTTCCTTCAGGGAAACCACTCACGCGTCAACATCGCCAAAGGTCTTCTTGTTGTCCTTGACGGAGCCGTAAATGTTCCAGGTGATCACCGTCTCCTTGTCGCCGTCCTTGTGGGTGGTCACGTAGCCCAGGCCCTTGAACTTGTCTTGATCAAACGAGCTCTCAACAAGTTCGACGGGGTTGTACTTCTTGCGCCACTCCAAGGCCGCGGTCAGCTGCTTCACGGCCCCGGCAACGTCATTGTCGTTGGCACGGAGGTACTTTTGCAGAATGATCTTGGTTGGCACATGCGTTTCAGGGTCATCGGACAGCTTGACGCCCCACATCTCATCGTGGCCAGTGTTCTTCTTGATCTCGGGAAGCTGGGACGCTAGCTTGGCGAAGGTCGTCTGGGGAATAGACTTTTCCTCAGCAGCACTGTCAGCAGCCGTGGCGTCTTCCGCCGGCTTTTCATTTCTGTCGTCGGAACCCTCCTTCTCCGCTGGCTTTGGCTCCTCTGTCTTGGGCTCAACAGGAGCCTCAGCAGCAGTGACTGCTGGCTTGTCGGTGATAGCTTCGGCGCCAGCTGCGGTTTCAGTGACCACAGGGGCGACAGGCTGGGCCTCGGGTTTTTGCTCCGCTGACATGTTGATGAATGCAAAGTTTCCACGTGGAGATGACGATGGATGCAGAAGGTAAGTCTTTCACAATTACGCTGCCCTGGAAATTTGGTTAGTATATGCAACCGTGGGTCGCCTACGTGATTCAAGCAGACCTCGGTCAGTTGACAGTGATAATGTGAAGAAGGATATGAGAATCAGGATGACTGGGGATGAAGGCCTGAAAAGAAGGGGAGAAAACAGTGCTCAAGGGGTTCCGTGCCTGAGGTTGTCAAGACGGGCGGCACGTATCCCCTGCACGGCTGCACGGCTTTTGACCCTTGACAGGGTTTCTGATTCTCTGCGCTAAAGACGACCAACTGCGATCTGATAAGACACACGTGCAGGCAACACGAGCCACTGGAGCATGCAATACTGGAGCTTGATCATTGATGAATCAATGGACGAATTGAAAAACAACTGCTTCAATCATCATCACTTTTTCACTGGGAACTCACGCCCATGAAAGGTCAAAGTCGCTTGGGCCACGACCACCCACCCGCTAACAGGCCTGAACCGAACTAGGGGGCTCGCGTGGGTCATCATCACCAGGTCACTGGCCTTAATTTCAAGTTTCATCACGACATGGAGTGCACGACACAACACGATAAGGCAGCGCGAGTCACGTATACGTAGCAGCGACTGTATTCAGCAATATATCGTAAAGGCGAACATAGTGTGCTTCTCAGGGCCTCTCGGCTGCATCATATCGACCTTTGCCCGTCGAGCCAAATCCCAGGAAGTCAACCCATCTCGCAAGACCAAAGACGCGCCCTTTTTTTTTTCCTATAGCAAATCCATCATTGCGTTGGCCATTTTCAAATGGCTTGCTCTTCAACGCGGCTACTACCAGCAGAAGAGAGTTGCGCCAGCCCATATCGTCTCCCAGAACAAAAAGAAAATCACTCCTCTTCCGTTGCGTCTGCGGCCCAGAAGAAAGCACCAAGAGTATCACCGCACCAAGAACCCACCCCGTTTTCCAAGGTCATTTTATCTTTTCAGAACCCAAAACAGCAGGCGATGCCAATTGTCAGTGAACAACATTAGTAGGTCTTGGCTGCTGGCAGAGCGCGGTACAGAATGCGCTCGATAGCCGACAGCTCGGCGTACGCAGCTTGGCCAAGGGTCATTTGGTCGAAACCAGGTCCCATGAAACGTTCATAGCCAAGCTCGTTCCAGAAGTAACCCCAGGTCATGTCTGTATCGGCAGCCTTCTCTTGCAAGTTGTTGCGCTCTTGAATGGACAAGGTCATCATGTCCTTGTGGGACTGGTCGCGGATGATGGAGATGTACCACTGGAAAGGTCAGTCACGGTCCGCGTCGGGCGGTCAACCACCTACATTGATAACATCTGGCTGCGCATTAACCTTGGCCGCGAGGGCGTACTGATGGCGCCAAGTGCCTGGCAATGGAGGGAGGTTGTACTTGGGCAGATCAGACTCTGTGACATTGGCCAGCCACGCGATGTCGTCCTTCATCAAAGGTGTGAAGCCAGGGCAGGACATGGCTGCCTTGGTCAGGCGACGGTACAGCTGCACGGTCAAGTTGACAACGTCGTCACCCTTCTGCAGTGATCGAGTCAGCAAGCGCAGCAACTCGCAAGTGGCGCGAAAGAGGGCGCGACGCTGCGAGATTGTGACACGATCCATGAACGACCACGGAAACTTCTTGAGTGTGCTAATCAAGCACTCATAAGGACGCTGCGGGCACTCCTTGGAGAATGGTGACTGCGCAGAATTGTGTTAGTGAATTGGACGAACAGCAGCTACAAGGTTAGACTCACACGATGAGGAACCTCGACGTGCTTCACGAGCATAATCATCTCCTCCTCGGTGATGAAGCCCTTGAAGTTCTCCCATGGCTCATGCGCATTGTAGGGCTTGAACTCGGGAGTGGCACCGTCCCAAATGACACCCGTCGCCAAGGGGAAGAGATCTCTCATGAGGCTGCCTTGGCTCGACAGCTCTACGTCGACCGCACGGTCCCCGAGACGTGATGGACGCGAGTTGGTGATGTTGCTGATGTGACGCTCGACAGCACGCATGGCATCCTCAAGGGTGCAGAACTCGACATAGGCGTCCATTGTCTTGCTTGTGACGCGCTCCATGATGATGTGCACGGGCTCATCAGCATCGTTGAGGATTTTGGAGTTGCGGCCGAGGAAGGCGATGACTTCGGCGCGCTTGGTTGAGAAGGGAATCTAATTTGAGTCAGTCGTGTTTGACATGTTCAGTTCCATGCTCATACGTTGCGAATCTTGACAACGCCATGGTTGATGGCCTTGCCGGTGCGGCAGCTCTCGGTGAACGGAAAGTTGTCAGGATGCATAGCGACGTCAAAAGATGGCCTGCCGCCAGGACAGTTGAGGAGCTCGTTCAACTTATCCGAACGCTTCACAGCAGGGGTCAGAGCCATGTGTAGCGGGTTGGCGAGCGCAGCTGCGGTCGCTGCAAAGGGATCCTGGCTGTTTGTATTATTATCGGAAGAGCCAAGTTCGTTGTCGACGCTGTCTTTGTTATAGGGCACAACACCCAGGTTGAATTTAGGTGGAGGCTCCTGTGTGATTAGATGGCCGTTGGTACGAGGAGCATAATTCTTTGGTTCCGTCATGGTGCTGATCAACGAGCCCTCAGGGCTCTGGACCAGACCGTGATCCATACCTTGGCGCTGGGGTGATTGTTCTGAACTGCCTAGCATCGTGAACCCAGTAAAGGACTGTGACTGGGGAATCCGGCCGTTTGTGTCATGCCCATTGGTAGCATTTGGCTGAGCGTACACCGTTTGTTCGTTCTGCGTCGTCTGCGCGCTTGGAAGGAAGCCATCGTTGACTTCATTGTTACCGTTGGCTGAAGCGTTCATGCCAATGGAGGACACGCTTGAGCTATACTGGTGTGACTTGGTACCGGCGGCAGTATAGTGAGTTCCGACGTCGTTAGCTTGCCCACCTGCCTAAGGCTGGGCTGGAGCGACATTCGGCGCCGTGGCCGTGGGGTGACCATTTGCACTCGTTCCGTTAGCGATTTGCAGGAGCCCATTAGCTGTGTGCATGAGATGGACTCCATTGTTGAGGAGATGGTTCGTGGCGTCATGGCCCCGGGAGTCGAGGGACTATTTGATTCAGTATGTCAGTTCCATGCAGTTTCGTGCCTACGGGCCTGCCTTACTGGAGCAGAACCAGGATCTGACCGTTGCGGAGTCAAGGAGTTGCCAGAGCCTGAGTGAAAGATAAGTTTCGTGTTGATGTTGTGGCATCCAGGTTGAGCTGCAAACTCACCGATGTAGGCCGAAGATGGGAAGTACATGTCGTTGCCACAACCGCTGACGCTGTTTCCACGACTGTGCTGACCATAGAGCGCTCTGTGAAGCATTTGGACCTCCTCGGCCGTAGGCTCCCTATGGGAAGCCATCGTGGTCCTTGGTTTGTTAGCCAGTAGGCATCAAAAACAGGCGATAGGACTTTTGACTCACATTGTTGTTGTCAAGAGCAAAGATTGAAGAAATGAGTACGCGTTGGTGTGCCAGATAGTGCCAATGTACGGCCAAAGAATCTCAGGCAGAATCTCAGGCAAAGTGTGGGAAAGTTGCGTATGAAGAGAGAAGAGAGAAGAGAGCCGCGCAGAGAGAAGGGTTCTCGCGGGTACGAAGAGCGAAGGGGGTAAAGGAAATGAGATGAAAGAGAAGTGAGGCAGCACGCGTGGGATCAAAACATTGCAACGATCAGCTACTGCTCAGCCTGCGGGCGGCTTCAGTCAGAAAGATCAGATCAACGAGTGAGGCCTCTAGCACAGTGTGGAGCACCATCTGGCCTCGACGGCAGAGCCAGTCCGTCAGCTAGCCGCGGCGCATCGAGGCACAGAGATCCCAGCCTTGAATTACGCTTGAGATTTGTTGACGGGGACCGCAAGATAATATAAGCGACAACGAGGTCAACCCCCTAACGTAAGTGACAGCCGCGAGTAGGCAGGGTCATAAGCCCTCTTCGATTCCTGACGAGGTGTTACCCTCATGTAGGAACTTGCAAATACAAGCCGTTGCCGAGATTGAATCTGAGAGTCTTGTAATCAGAAAATCGCCTGGTCAAAGGGCGTTTCCATAACAAGTTGCGTCGTCGATACCACCTTCGTGTCATGCGAAATCTGTTGCGTCATCCTCGCCAAGAGTCGACCCAAGATAATGGTTGATACCTGGTAAACATTCAAGTTGCTCTAAGTCTCATATGTAGTGGATATTGACAATGTCAAAGGATCATTGTTCCACATTTGCGCCAAGTCATTGCCCATCGCTTGCTCAACCCGCCTATGTACGGCTGGCTTTTAATCAAACTGGCACGTGTTAGCTCATAGCAGGACATGCCGCGACAGCTCGGCTTACAGGTGTCAAGAAGGATTCCGCGACGAAACGAGCTCGTGCGTTTAACTGTAGTCGGTTAACTTCTGCCCTTGCCAGCAAAGGGACGGTGCCGCCTACAAAGAGCTTCATCTCCGATATTTCCTTGTCAACCTCCTCCATGAATTGAATGATAAAGTCCACGAGCTTGTGCTTCAGCATCTCCTCGGTATGGAAGTTCGTTATCAAGAAAGAGATATCGTAGCCCTGTACATCAATCAGCAAAGGATTCCCAGTCCTCGACATCCAGGGTACGAACCTTGATCGGCTTCCTCCGCAGGATGAAGAATGACTCGGCGCGCTGTGTCAAGAAGCGCGTGAACTTGTGCACCAGGATATGCTCAATCTCGTCGGCCTGCTTGATCTTGATGCTGATGCGCACCGAGTTGATGCTGGGCTCGATAAGCACGCGCTCGTTTTCGTTGCGCGAAATGGTCAGGGGCGTAAGTACGACCTCAGGCGAGGTCTGGGCTTCGATCTCGGGGACATTGTGTCGCTCGGCCGTCTGGGATGCGAAGTTGGACAAGGTGAGGGCAGCTGTGAGACTGCTCCGGACAGCCTGGAGATACGGCCGGAGGGATTGAGACTGCGCATCGTTAGTTACCAATGCGCTTTGGGACATTGAACAATTTCACAACGTACCATGACGGCGGCAAGCCCTTCCTGGGCTTTTGTCGTGTGTCTCGTGGGTAGTCTCTCTACGTCGCAAGGCGTGGCGGGGTTGAAGTGTCGTTGGACGTCGTCGTCGGACCTTCAGCACAGCCTAGACGTGACGTCTCGGTGGGGCACAGGCGGCTGGGGATCCAGACGATGTCACGTGAATTGGCGTCAAATCGATGTCAGCACTGCATTCATGGGTTCAGAAAGGCCTACTCCTCAGTTCTCTGCATTCTTTATAAATACGCAAGAAAAGTATTCTATCACGTTAACAGAACGTGTTTCTTCAAGTGATGCCCATGGCCTGGACATTGTGGCTGAAGCTCGCAGAAGGCGGCGGAATGTGGCTGAACGCATAACCCCACAATTCGCGACTCCAGGTACCAGCTCGTGACGCACCACTAACCATCTCCAAACTTCCGCCCCAAGCAGCACTTTTCGCAAACCGGGCTTGCTACCACTGCTTCAACCAGCTGATACACTCCTTGGAGCAAGAATTTGATCAAAAACTTGGAGGTTCATCGACTTTACAGAGTCACTATGGCGTCAATACCTGGTTTGTCACCCCTCGTTCCCCACGTCTCAACAACAACAGCTAACAGCGGTCCCAAGTCGTCGTGAAACACCAAGGCAAAAAGTACAATGTCGACGTCGATCCCTCAGCCACCGGCGAGGATTTCAAGCTTCAGCTCTTCTCGCTCACCGAAGTCGAACCCGACCGCCAAAAGATCCTCATCAAGGGCGGGCAACTCAAAGATGACGCCGATATGAGCAAGCTTGGGCTGAAGCCCAACCAGACAATCATGATGATGGGCACTCCGGGATCCAATGGTTCTGGCCTGGTGCGGCCAAAGGAGACGGTCAAGTTCGTCGAGGACATGACTGAAGCCGAGCAGGCGCAGCAAGCAGGTGCCACGCCTGCGGGGTTGATGAACTTGGGCAACACGTGCTACCTGAACTCGACTCTACAGACGCTCAAATCGATTCCGGAGCTGCAGGACGCGCTGTCAACGTACAACACTAAGAATGGAACCTTGATGGGCGGTGCGCAGCTGGATCTGGCCTCGCAGTTGGCGAGCCTGTACAAACAGATGGGCGACACGCAGGAGTCATTCCCACCCATGGGGTTTCTGGGCGCACTGCGAAGTGTGTTTCCCCAGTTTGCAGAGCGTTCAAGGCAAGGAGAAGGATATGCCCAGCAGGACGCCGAAGAAGCCTGGTCACAAATCGTCCAGCAGCTGGGGCAGAAGGTCAAGGTTAAGGAAACGGACGACGCCCCGGAGATCTCCTTTGTCGACAAGTACATGTCTGGCGAGTTCACGTCCGAGCTGGTCGCAGATGAGGAGGAAGCCAAGAACAATGAGCAGCCTGTCGTCAGCCGGGACCAGTTCGCCAAGCTCAACTGCCACATCGACGGCAAGACGAACCACCTCCGCGACGGTATCCTGGCAGCTCTCAGCGAGAAGCTCGAGAAGAGGTCCGAGACCCTCGGTCGCGACGCCGTTTACACCAAGACATCGAAGATTTCGCGCGCGCCCAAGTATCTGACGGTGCACTTTGTCCGGTTCTTCTGGAAGCGCGAGTCGCAGAAGAAAGCCAAGATCATGCGAAAGGTCACATTTCCCCATGAGTTGGACATTGTGGAGTTCTGCTCGGATGACCTGAAGAAGGCACTGATCCCCGTCCGCGACAAGGTCCGCGAGATCCGCAAGGACGAAGAGGACCAAGAGCGCGCCAGGAAGCGACGCAAGAAGTCGCACGAGCAAGACGTGGGCGACATTGCCGGTGGCGCAGGTCTGCCGACCGAGAAGGAGAGAAAGGAGAAGGAGAAGAAGGAGCAAGAAAAGGCCGAGCGTGACGGCAAGTCGAAAGAGAAGAAGTCTGGCGACGGTGACGTTGTCATGGGCGAAGGCGAGACGTTCAAGACCGATGCGGAGGTAGAGGCTGAGCAGGCCGCTGCCATCCTGGAGGCCAAGAAGGAGCTCAACTCTCTCATTGACCCAGCGCTTCGTAAGGACGATGGCGCCAACCAGTCGGGACTGTATGAGCTTCGCGGCGTCGTCACCCACCAGGGTGGTAGCGCCGACAGCGGTCACTACACGGCCTACGTCAAGAAGGCTGCACCGGTGGATCCCAAGACTGGCAAGAGGGGTGAGGAGGATGGCACGTGGTGGTGGTTCAACGACGAGAAGGTCACCGAGGTCACCAGCGACAAGATCGATGCACTGGCTGGCGGCGGCGAGTCGCATTCTGCGCTGATCCTGCTGTACAAGGCCATTCCGTTGCCCACAGCCGAGGGCGTTGTCGAGTAAGACTGCAACACTGGCGGAGTATACATAGATCACGAAATATGAAATGCGGAATGAACTCAGTATGAAAAATGTTTGTACAGGCTGTGTAGCCAAAGGGGTATCCAAAATGCAGAACGCTATCCCGTCTATCATGCTCCACGATTTCCAAATACTCCACGATCCGGATGCTGGTAATTATGTGGTATCCGTACTCCCCACAACCGAGTCCCTCGTCATTCTGTTTTCCGTTGCGCCCTAATTGCTCTTCGTCGCGCCTTTTCCGCCTCGCGCTCTTTCACCTTCTCCTCGAAAAGATCGATCTTCCGTTGTAGCTGGCCCCTGGTGTCCAGGAGCGCTCTCTTCTGCTCCTCCAGAACCGCAATTTGTTGGTGCGGCGAGGTCTCGCGGAATTCTCGAATGGCATCGGCCTTTTGCTTGTCGGCCTTGAGTTGGGCGCCGGTCAGGGACCCGACAGTGATGACGGCACCAAAGGCGATGGCGGAGATGCCGGCTTTGGCTTTGGTGAAGGAAGACATGTTTCGTCCTGGGTAGGTTCACCAGTATTCAAGCCAGATCCTGCGGGAGCGTTTTGCCCGATCGTCACTTGCAGGGGGCAGCGTTGAGGTCTGCGAGCTGACTGTCGATCGCTGCGATTCCTTCGAGTGCCTTTCTGAGGGTGGTTCGGCTTGGGGGGTTGCTGTCGATGGACGCTTGAGCCTGTGTAGCTCAATGGCGTTGTCCAGCAAGATTATGCTCGATCGCGAAGGCGTGGACCAAGGACTTGGCAGAGTGGGGCTGTGGTCGTAGCCGGGGGTCTCGGGGTGCAGGGACGTTAGTAAGCGATGCAGGACGAGACAAGACATCGCATCGTAAGGTAAGGTAGGAGATATTCAGTACGCAGGTAAAAACGTCGTCCGAGTTGTCATAAGATTGATATTGAGTTGCAAAGTGGCCAGAAGTGACTTTGGAGGTCAAATCCACGAGTGGCAATGGCGCCCTTGTGACAAAGTTTCGGGGGCCTCGTGACTTCCATCGTGCCTTGTCTGCCGAGAAGTACCTGGTATGGTGCAGGGTAGTCACGATCAGAACAGTCGGATGCCACGGGGGACATGAATCGACCAGGCGCGCGTCTTCTTCGCCTTGCTAGGATAGTTGAATCAGTATGTAAAACTGCAGGCAGCCATGCAAATGTGGATAATTTGAATAGATCGTCAGACGGGATCGAGGAACCCGTATTTAAGGTGTTGTTGCGAAAATGACATAATTCAACCCCTCCTAGGCTCCATAACTCCCATCCGCAGTCTCTCTCGCCTTGCTCATCTGGTAGCGAAGATATTGTCTCTCTTTCCATCTCTGTATACTGTGCGTTCGCTAAGCATAGAACATTCACACAATGGGCAAAACACCACGAGTCTTTCTGATACGCCATGGCGAGACGGAGTGGTCCCTCAATGGCCGTCACACGGGGACCAGCGATATTCCCCTCACAGCCAACGGAGAGGCTCGTATCAGAGCAACTGGACAAGCGTTGGTAGGCCACGATCGATTGATTGTACCCAAGCAATTGGCCCATATGTAAGTAAACTTTGTGCTCCGATGAGTTCAAACGCAGGAAGCGGTGTTGGAAACCGTGAGAGCTGGAGAGCCATTGCTGTGTTGCCAGGGCCAACAGCGAGCAAATACAAGCGAGCTTTGTTGGAATGAAAGCCAGTGCACAGTATTATATGTCCTTCAAGGGACAACGGAGAACACCCCTGAGCTTGGCATGGGCTTGGTTGCACTCCAGTCATGAACATGTCGGCCTGGACCTTTGCCTTCAGCCCTCGCAGCTTGCCTCGCGTTCAGCGAGTATTAGCCCCTCGAGACACCGGCTTCATGCATAGTATGATCTGGCAAGCGCATTGCTGACGATCTGATAGCTACGTTTCCCCACGCAAGCGTGCTCAACGCACCTTTGAGCTCCTGAATCTTGGTATCCCCGCTGAGCAACTCCCATGGACACTGCATGGCGAGCAACCAAGCAAGCGCGCAGAACTGTCCAACTGTGGTGCGCGTGTCGAAATCACAGAGGACATTCGCGAATGGGACTATGGAGACTACGAGGGCGTGACCAGCCCTGATATCAGGAAAATCCGAGCGGAGCAGGGGCTGGACGAGGGCAAGGGAAGAACATGGGACATCTGGACGGATGGATGTCCTGGCGGCGAGTAAGTTCCGATTTAACCCTTTGAAGATCTCTCCGTCTCGTTCTGGAGCGTGCTGGAGAATCACCAGTGTTGTGAGACTGCTTTGAGCGGAAAAGAACTGACAACCCAGGATGCCCGACGACGTCACAGCCCGTCTTGATCGCCTCATCGAAGATCTCCGCACCAAGTACCACGGACCCTGTATGAACGGTGATGCCCCTAAAGGCGACGTCCTCATCGTAGCACACGGCCATATTCTCCGTGCCTTTGCCATGCGCTGGGCCAACAAGACACTGCAGGATGGCCCGGCGTTCTTACTTGAGGCTGGTGGCGTTGGTACCTTGAGGTGAGTCAATGTGCCCAGTCGGCGGTGAACAAAGCCAACTGACGACCCTTAGTTACGAGCACAGCAACATTGACGAGCCCGCTATCCTCCTGGGCGGTGCTTTCGTTGTTGACATTGCGGAAAAGGGACTGCAATAATCCCCATCAGGGATTGGCGGGCCTCACATAGACTGTGCTAGCTGGCCGAGATCATGTTCAATAGATTGTGGCATTCTAAGCACCGTGGTCATCTTCGTACGGTTATCAAATGTCGGTCGTGCTTACAACTTAGTCCCCCTGGCCAAAAACACATTCCTCTCCATCCTCCGATCAGCCTTCTCCCCTGCCCAGAGTACAATCGGCTCCTTGAGCTTCTTGAACGCAAAGTCTCCCCCGCAGCCTGCGTCCTCAAACATCTTCCGCACATTGTCCTCCGTGAACCCATTGTGCGTCACCCCAAACGCCCCAGTTGCCTCGGGCGCATGGGGTAGAAAGTCTAGGATGAACAGGACACCGCCGGTCTTCAAGCGCTCAGAGAGACGTTTCGCAGACAGAGTCGTGTCATCAAAGTGGTGGAAGCCAGCGCCAACGCCCGCAAGATCAAAGTTGTAGAACTTGGGGTCGGAAAACGCTTCGGGCGACGGGTCATCAGGGAGCGTGATGTTTCCTAGATATGCCTCCTTCTTGTCCGGGAAGGTTCCCTTTCAGAGATTCAGCCATCGTGTCTCTTCGAATCAAATGCGTAGTGCTTACCTCGCTCTTGGCCTTGGCGTTATACGCCTCAACCATGCTCTCCGCTAGGTCGATGCCGATGCACTGGCTAGCTCGGGGGGCGAATGCCTAGAAATCTATTTAGGTTCTAAATATTCTTGTGAACGCGGCAGCATTGGGGACTTACCCTTGATAGTAAACCCGTGCCGCAAGCATAGTCAAGCACGCGCCCACCCTGCTTCAAGCCAATGAACTCGGCAGAGGCCTTGATTTCATCCTCAAGTTGGCCAACGCCCTTCTCGTATCTCTTGTCGTAGTCGGCAGCAATTTTACTAGTGCGCACGTCAGTCTATCGGCTCTAGATCTCATCGGCGCCGATGGAAGAGCTAACTTGAAGTGCTCCCGATTGGCGTTGAGAGAGTCAGACATGACGGGCTTGACAGTTGTCGGCAGGCTTTCTGGGAGCTCGGGACCAGGTTTGGGCTTTGACAGATGCGCAAAGAACTAGAACAGTCTTGAAAACAGTGCTCGGTTGTTTGTCTTTGCTCACGTTGTGGTGCAATTGAAGCAATTGGCTCTATGACGTGCTCATCACTTTTGTACTAACGTGAAGCGGAGACTTCTCGGACAGTTGACGTCGACATTGGACCCTCTGATGATCTCCCGCGCAATCTTTCGTTCATCAGATTCTTTGAAGATTTTTTTTTCCCTTTCGCATTGTTGGCATCATTATGCTGACCATATGTCTGATCTTCAGAAGACTCTGGGGTTTGCCATCAAACTTCAAGTGCACTTGCACAACTCACCTCCAGTGTCCGCACAGCCGGCACCGTTGCGGCAGCTCCAAAAGCAGGAAGCAAAGTCTTCGCCAGACGGCTTCTGTTGAAAGCTAAGGGGCAGACCGAGCTAGAGGTATGAAGCGCATAGTACGAGTGCTTATGTTGTGAAGGAAGCCGAGCAGTACATTAAGACGTGATCATTACGAGCAGCTTGCCGCAAAATTTTGGCTAACGCGCGACTGGCCGCAATCTGCGCTTCGGGGTCCCTATGCTTTCGATAATCACAGCAGTAGTAGCTGGCGGCAGAGCCTTTGCAGCATGTCCATTTCAAATCGGGAGCCGTCTGGCGCTCACTCATCTTGAGCAACGCCAACAACTTATTCCAGCGCCAACCATATGCACAAGGAGTTTCACACCCCAACGGCCCCCTGAGGAGGCCCGCGCATGGGCCATATCAATGCCAGCCAGCGTTGACTAGGCTAGTAGGCCCCGGGCCGTCCGCCTTCCACCTGCACGAGCGCCTCGGACCGAACATAGTTTGGCCTCTGTGCCTGCGGCCACCCTGGCTTACTCGTCAGTATGTGGACACATGGTCCTAAGGACTAAAGAGCACAACCACACAGGGCTTTTGAGATCCTCCACCACGCCCGGGTCATTCTCCGGAGCTCGCAGCAAGCTAAGCATCGACGCTTTTGGCTCATGAGGCTACAACGACTCGCCCCCTCAATTCTGCTGCTTCGAAACCCTACGTGTGGGCTGTTGGGGCGGACCAAGGATTGGGAGTCATGTCGCGGGGTAGACACTCCACGGCAGGACGGCCGTTATGCCCAATGCATGCAGTTTGCCTCGACCGTTTTCGGTCCCCTACATGATGCATGTCGGCCGACGGACTGGTACGTAGATGCTGCTGCCGTGCAAGATCCAAGCTGTGAGGCGACCGGGTTGGGTGGCCGCCTGCGGTGCGCGAGGCTTGTCGCACACCGCCGGTTCGTTGGTAAGCTGATGCAGGACGCCAGCCAGCGCGGGTCCTGCTGATGGTAATCATGGATTCATGGCATGCCCCAGATGCAATAAGAGTGGCGCCTAAAGATTCGGGGACCATGGTATCATACTGTTAGTGCCACGGGAAGCGAGTGATACATGCACTTACGTACATATAATATCGTAAATCCCAAAGGCGACCTGTCCACCATCACCACCACCAGTCCACCACCCACTGGGTGATGGGGCCAGCTGCACGATGTGCGTAGTGCCGGCCCGTCACTGTGCATCCGCCATTGACAAATTGCTCCGTTCTTGATCGTTGGCGCCCGGGGGTTCAGCTGACGGTGGAAAGCTTGTAAACATGAACGGAAGCGCTGGTCGACGAGTTTATACTAATACAAACATTAGCGCCGCGAGCTATGTAGATCAATTCAGGCCTGCCTGAGAAGGCTGTCGTTGGTCACAGGATCGCTCCGTCATGTCGCTTGTGCAGCTCGTTTGCGTGCTTTCTCCAGCGTGCCACACAAGCTGCATAGCGTAGTATTACTTGTATATGGTAGATGATAAGCCAGCCTGACGGGTGATGAGTGCATCTTGTGGGGCGCCGTGATGAGGGGACAACCCCCAGCCTGTGATGCGACGAGTGCTCGAACAATGATGATGCGGGCCCCCTGAGGTCAGCCTGCGCTCGTCGTCAGTGCTTGTAATGATTGAGGACCACAGCGAGGAGATCGCAGCTTGGTTCGTCTCTACAGTGGCCGATGCAGTGGCACCAGACCCAGAGAAAGAGTCAGAAGAGTCGACCGTGCCGCTGCCACCTCATACATCTGTGGCCCTGCGTGAAGGACAGCTCGGATGCGACCCATCATTTATCGCCCTGCCTCACGAGTCACACTCACAGTCGCGGACTAATTAGCTCCCAACCCAGTCAACAATTCGCAACTTCGCACTGTCGCTGCATGTCTCCTCCAAGTCGCTTCAGCTGGAGAATCCAACTTGCAGGGGTGAGCATGCAGCAGATCGAGGATCCAAAGGAGTGAACCGAGTCATTCCAATATTCAACCCGGCCGGGTTTCCGCGCGGCTGACTGCTGTCTTCTCTATCGTATTTGTCACCTTCGCACATTGCGCTGTTGGCATGCGCGAGGAGTGCGAAAGCGCTCATCTTGAGCCCTTCGTGTTTTGTTGGAATGTCAGCAAAGAAACCCGACATGGATGCAAGGATAACGACTCCTCACTCCACCCGGGATGTCACAGCGATCCCCTAGTCGCTGCCACAGGACTCGACTGGAGGTCACTGTCGTGAACTTGAGTGAACGACGAACCCCTGTCATCTTGGGGGGAATGTCGGTGTGCGCGCCAGGTCGGAATGCAGACAAAGGGCGAGCGATGGGCAGGGAAGCATCAATGGTCATTGGCTCGGAATAGGGTAGAGCGTGAAGCGGGAGATGGGGCGGGAAGATGATGCATCTCGCGCATGAGATAAACATCATGTGACTTTTAGCTCACGCGTGCGATTGGCGGACCGAGCCTCTTCCCGGCGGCATCCAATTACCAGAAGACAGGTTGGCGCCTTGGCAGTTAGGCCGCGGGTTCGATGCAAGGGCGCGGGAAATGAAAAAGAAATTCATGTCGCACCCATCGTGGGGCCCCTTGCTTCGACCTTGAAGCTTCAAAGACAATCAAATCAGTCCCGTAGCGTTGGGCCCAATTTCTCGGTCCATCTCCATTGTATGGTGCGTCAAGAGGCACGCAATGTGTTGTCCTCCTGTCAACCAAGGGGCGTCGACCGACCATGTCACACACGCCTCAGCTCAAATACGACAATCATTGACGGATGAGACATTCGACTTGCCGCACGTATCATACTTGTGCAAAATGATACCCCTCTAGACGGATCTTCGCCAACGCAGCCTTGATCGATTTAGTCGCAGCTGAGCTGAACTCTGTACAATTCCAGTGGCTTGATTACTATCATTTCCCCTACTACTCCGTACTTCTAGTCATATAGGGGTTTGGTGATTATTGTTATTCTTCAAGTACCGATTTACGTATTGAGCTTGAGTTGGCATTTTAAAGCTTGGGTAGCAACAACTTCTGGGTGTGCGGTTATACGACGAATTCAGAAAGCCATAATGATTCTTAAAGACCAGACCTGACATTATTGTAACGGACTACCGAGCTGCTTGCGCATTGATGGCTTTTTATTGAAGTGCCAGCCAGACCCTAGGGTAGGCGTGCCCAGAGCCATTTCACGGTGATCTACGTACTAACCTAGCTCAGTCTAGGCTAGCCCGCATGCAGTCCGGGGCGGACTACAGCAATGTCCAAGTTACACGTAATTACACCTGGTATTCAATTATGTTTTCAGGAGTCATGGGCATATGGAAGAAAAACAAGGGCCAGGGGCGCCGCGATGGTAGCCCTGCCAATTCAATTGCAGGATCCGTTACCCGATGCATTCGTCGCTGCTGGGCTCCTGCCTTCGCGCACGGCGGTACCCCGCGCGACCACCTCTTTCCGTAGCAGCCTGGCTGCCTAAACCTACTAATAGAATTGAGGACTTCTTTGACTTCAGATTAACATGTCACTTTCAGAACTCAAAGTCCTGCCAGGCTCACTCACACGAGATTGCTCCTTGCACCGCGACAAATGCCGGGTGCATACCGACAGACGGTATTATCTTTCGCAATACTACAGTAGTAAGGAGTACAGTGGTACACCCTGGGAGAAACTTACGCGCTGATAGGCCAAACCTCGAACAGCTTCAATGGTCCAAGGGGGTGTGTAACGCTCACAGCCGATCCTGCGCAGCCTACGTCCGTACATGGATTTACGCTGAGAGGAGTGTACTTCCCTCATTGGGGGCGGACATCACGGTCAAGGCGACATGGTCACGCAAGAGCAGCCAAGCCTCATAACCATATTCTCCGAGGACAGCCAACAGCGCCCAGCACTGACACCACCGAGCTATACGAGCCATTGGCAAGAGGAAAAACAGCACGACGCACATGAAGAACCTCGATGGCGACGCTAAGACAACCTTATGATTGGCCGCGGCCATATCGACTTGGCGTCAGCTTTCTTAAAGACCGGGATTCATCACCTCCACAACGTCGAAATCTTTCCCAGAAATTTACGAACACCAACAACCCGTGACGATACCCCGATCTTTGCTTCGAGTTGCTGATACCAAGTACTGTGGCTTCGGTTGGGATCCAAGCTGACTTTCGCGAATGAGCACCATCACCGGCTCTCACGCAAGGGGTATGTGCCAGAGGCTGACAAGACTTACGACTACCGACAGAGTTGGTCAATCCTGGACGTGATGAATCCCGGGTGGGTGCGCTCCGTGGCAATGTGCTTTGGGGGTGTTACAGTCGCTGACTACGAGTACCAGTATGGACATTGCCAGGCGCAGCCTTCACCAGTTCACACGAAGCCATCTCTCGATAGCCCCGACATATTCTGAGGCTGTGAGCCAATCACCCGCCCTAAGTGAAAGATGGCCAGAAGGAAGCAGGGGTCACCCTCCATTGCAAACCCATCAGCCCTCCTCATTACCTATTGGGCTCCTCGAATGTGGAGTCGCTGTCGCCTTTTTCACTTCTAGGTAGGCCCAGAACTTGTGAAGGGTGGACAGAATACGTACCAAAGTAAGCGATTCTGCTAGCGGAACGGGTGCAACCGCGTCGATGCATGAGGCCGTCAGCGACGATTGGCAAGGCCGATGGGGGCACCGTCAACATCTCGAATGGCTGCCACATTGCGGGGACTTGTGGCCTTGGGCCTCCACAAACGGTCGAGGCCGCCTTGATATTGGCATCTGGATGTTCGCTGGCAAGTACACCACTGACGCTTGATGCCGCGTGCAATGTGGCGTGCGTCGTGAGCTATGGCGGCCCCTGGCAGCACGTTTCCTGTGAGGCGTGGTGATGGGAGAGCGACACTACCGATGCATGGAAGGATTTCAGTAGCCCGCGCCGTGCCGCCCCGGGCCATGCAGATGGACATACTACTGGTAGCACTTGGCTCGCGTTCCGAGGTTTGTTGCATCCCCGACATTACAGTGTGTTATCTTTGTCTAAGTAACCAGAGGATAGGCCATTTCGCTACCATACAGTCGGGGCCTTGATCACGAACCAAAACTTTCGCTGAGACCAGCCTTGCATCCTCGAGGGCTTCCTCTCTGCTGTGACGATAATCTATCTGATCCTCGATCATGGCCTGGTCAGCGGGCCAGCCGCGGCCGTCGCGCGCGGGGCGGGACGGCGGGAGGCAAATCTATCAGATCGCCGAAGCGCAAGAAATCCATGTGCGGAGCGAGCCACTATTGCATGAGAGAAGCGCAACACGAGGCAGTCCGGCGCCCGCAAAGCAGGGCACATAAATAGTGTGAAGCAATGTGGTAAAAAAAGATGACGACGAGACACGATTGCTGCCCGCCCACCTTCATGCGGACGGAGGCTATGCGCGGCATGTCTTTGGGCCTCTTCCTGCAGGCAGCCGCTGTGATAAATGCAAGCTGCTGCACGCGTTCAGATTGCCTGTGCTCCGCGCAAAGACGCTCAGCAATCACCAACGCGGACATGCGACTTTCCCAAGCCTCGGTTATGGGCGTTTGCCTCGGGGTTTCAGTACGGGGCACCTAAAGTACCATCCCGCAGAAGCAAGGAACCTCAATGAGATACGCCGCAGTCATTGGAGACAGTACCTTGCTGCGACCAGCAATGTTGGTGCATCGCCGATAGAAGGTGCTTTGTTGGGTTTGCGTTCTATTCTACCTTCCCCGTCGAAAGCATGAGGTCGGCGGACTGACGAGTGTTTCCACGCGGCAAACCCCTGTCGGTCAGCATCCACAGTCTAAGCGGTGAGGGAGCATCCGCAGTTGCAGCAGGACGGGAGACGCTGAAGGGAGGGTGTGCCGCCGGCCACGCCCCCTCCCAAGACCCGCGCTGGAGTCGACCCGCAGTGACGCCGCCGCCCGGGTCCAAAGTCCAAAACCCAGAGGAGGGCACAGTGCAGTAGCGTGCGCAGCGCAGGACCTGGTAAAGTGATACTGCTAGTTCACCAATAGTATATCGTCCAACAGCTGGGGTCGCCGTCGTTAGCTGCTCCCGTGACGAAGACTGTACGCAGCCTACCGTCCCAGCCAGACATGGTTCCTAGCCAGGCCCAGAGGAGGATGGACATCAATCGGCCGCGGTGCAATGAGGCGGCAGTGAGTCGCGACAGGCTTCGAGTGCTGCGGCCCGTGGCGTCTCACAGCCGTCTTTGGGGACCCGTGCGGCCAACAGGTGAGATCAGCATCGCCATCAAGCAAGGCCAGCTCTGCCAATACTACGTACGTGCTGGGCAATTAACTCTGTAGAGGCCAGAGGGGGCGCAAGGCAGGCACGCAGTCGAATGCTGTCAACGTACAACGGCGACAATGCGACATACTACTCACTGTCAGCAGTCATCCCGAGCCAGCAGGGGTCAACAACAAGTTCAACAGGCTTCTCGAGTGGTGAGGAAGACGGCTGCCAAAACCATTCCAGTCGCTGAGGCGAGTCTCGACCAACAATGTTCTGTCTTCATTTAATTCCTTCTGGAGAGGTTGCGCCGAGCCAGCACCAGTCTGCGTTTGCGTACGCCCTGTCTCACTCAAGCACAGCAACAACAACCCAGGATCATCGGAGCCTTCTGCTATTGAAGGCAAGGGAATGACCGGCCCGGGCTGTTTGGGAAGTTTGGGTCGTGTTTCTGGTCGCCCTGTCGTGTCAACTGCGGGACGAGGACAAGCGTCAAGCAGACAGGGCTCGTCCCGTCCCTCACCGAGACAACTCCTTCGCACTCGCGTGAGCTTGACGCACAAGGTGACAGACATGACAGCTGGTCGTCACCGACGTAAGTTAGACATCAGCCAGAATAGCCATCGACCGTTGCTTTTCATCTACGCCTGGACAGATGAGTTGTCGAGTGGGCTGCCATGGATCACGAAGCGATTTATCATTTAACCGGCCGGGCGTTCGAGCAGCCTTGGATGGAAAAAGAAAGGCTCTTGGAGGAAGAGACGCATGCAGAAGCAAGAAGGCAGCGACATACGCACGGCCACGTCGACGATTTATTATGCTGATCAGTCAATAAAGAATTGCTGCGCGTGTCCGGTGACAGACCGTCAAGACCTGATAAGCTCAACAGGTGGACGAAAGCACCACACGAGTTGCGCAGCCTGCGGCCTTGCCTGCAGCCTCCCTGCCCGCCCGACAGTGTTCTGCCCACTTGTTGAAATTCCCGCCGGCGGTGCGGTGCGGTGCGTTGCGTACCGCCATGCCAGTCAACAACCCAGCCAACAGCCCAGGCCCCAGCATCATCGACACGCAGCGGCCGGGACCAAGCGCAGTCGAGGCCCAATAGAGCCTGCTGCAGCGCAAGCCAGCGAACGAGCATCGACAAGGAGACTCCCGGTCACTCCACCGCTCGCGTTTGCCCGCCAGAAGCCTGCAGAGCCCGCAGAAAGCGCGGCGACCAACGACAGACTGCGTACGTACCCTGGATGCGCGGCGGGTGATTGGGTGAAGAAAAAAGTGCGCCCCTGCTGGCGTAGCTGGTCCTGTGGCTCTGAGAACCAGTCGTTTGAGTCAAGGAACGAGTCCCATTGTCCCAGAGCACCCCACACGCAGCTGGTGGCGCTCAAACTCAAAACACTGTGAAGGGTCGAACCGTGACACCCCGGGAGCAGGCTGGCTAGGGGCACCCCATCGCAGGGCGCCTTCCCTGGGTCCAGTCATTTGCTCACACCTGAAGAACGCGTCCACCGCATGCACACCTCCAGCCTCTCTGCCTGCGACTTGCCAACTGTACGGTACAGACACCTGGGTTCTCAGTTCTCACCTGGCTCATTCACCCATCCACCGGGTTTCCTTGCAGCAGTTGCCAGTAATTGGGCAAACGCCCCAGCTACCAACCTTACCCCAAGAAGGTCCAGGGAGCGCAGACACCCTCCCTCGGACCCCCCTTTCCATCGTGCTGTGCTGTGGACTCGTGGTTTATCACGTCTTTTGTCCTTGCCTGGAAGTCTCGTTATCAAAACTCTCTTCTAATTACTTCCTTACCTACCACGACCTTTCGACGTCGCGCAGAGATCTATCATAACACAACCAACGAGGCCGTGCGACGTGCACTTGATTACAACGGTCGGCACGGAGTGGAGAGGCCGTAGGTACGGTAGTCAGTCACGCTGCAGACAGTGCTGGAAGCAAGCACCTTTTTCTGCGAGTGTCTCCGACGTCAGACGACGCTGCTGCACGTCTGCTGCGCGTATCCTCCACCCTGGGACTGGAGTAGCTACGTGCGTGCGTGTGCTCACTGCGGGCTTTCCAGACTCTCTTTTTGCCTTTTTGTGAGAATCCGGATCTTGACTGGCTCGAGTCGCCGCTGCGCTGGTCTAAATACCTGGTCCTTGTTGACCTTGGTTCTCACTCACTACGGGATTTATTAGACCGGCCTGGGTCTGGTCCACACAGCTCGCTGCTGCACCTGGACTCTTCAGGCGCATCTCATCTCATTTCTACCTCACCTCACCTCACCTCTGTCCGCCTCCCAGTTGCTCGCCTGCGCCTCGATTCTCCCCTCACCATCTCACATCGCGGTCGACCTCACCTCTCACCGTCACAACCGGCCATCTCCAGGACGATCGTGCGACGATTTGCTGGCGGGGGACGACGACAGCAACCTGTTGCCTCACCACCGTTGCCGCATCACGTGCAATAGGGTCCAGCAAACAGGGAAACGCCTGGAAGGACGGTCTACGAACTGAAAGACATAGTCGCGCCAAGTTCTCAAGGTACACATCGCAAAACAAGGTACGTGAGATTCATTTTCTGCATTTGCACCACTGTTTTGCCCTCGTCTTGTTTCATGTACCGGGCCCTATCATCTCGCGCACGACGTATCCAAGCACATCACGGACATGAATGGCAATCTCAGCTTGATGGGCCATGGCCGCCCGCCTGGTCATCGACGTGCCACCTTTGCATAAGATCTTGGGTCTTCAATGCAACGTCCAAGACGGGTCCGCAGAATGCGGACAGGCGCGATTCAAGATCGCCAGGGAGGGCATGGTTTGCATGCATACACGACGTCGACACTCATCGCTCATGGCTGGGAGTTCACACGAGAGAGCGCTTAGGCGGCGCAGCCGTTGTTGCATCAGCACTCGACTGATGAATGCGGATTGTTCATGTGACCTCATTCGACACGAACACTTTGCTACCCAAAGGCGCCTCAAATATTGGGTTCGCATTTGCAACGCAAGTGTGTGGGCGATGGAAAGCCTGACACTTGCGCGCGCGTGCCTGCGCTTTAAACTCACTGGTCGTCAAACACAAATTTGACGCGCTTGCCGTTGTCTTTTAGCGTGGGTTGATCACCACCCAACAAGACTTTTGCTGGTGCACCATGGAGCCTCACCTCGCCGACCAATTCACCTACTGCTGAAAGAAAAAAAAAAGACGTCCTTGGCAGCCACGAAGCCACTTCTGGTGGAATGAAGTGGTCGACGGTCGACGGAAACGTCCGTGGACCGCGATCTCATTGCTGAATTCAGCCGAGCCGGGAGACAGCGGTTCGAGATATCCGCTTGGCAAGAATTTGTTGGCATTCCAGTCCTTGCGTCAAAGAGTCGAGACACACCCGGGCAAGCATCGCGCCACTGCTTGGTTCATTCCCGGCCTTGCGAGGCTGCGGCCCTATCTAATCGCTTCCTGCCCGCCTGCTTGGCCGCGCCGCCGCCAGTCAACCCGAGCCCCTCCCTCCCTCCCTCCCCCAGGCCGTCAGACTGGAGCTGCTCCTGGCTAGACTAGCAGGAGAAGATCGGGGCGTCCCCCTAGGGGCCGCTGGATTGCCTCCTGGGCCCTTACCTTAGCAGCAGCCTCGACTTGCCAGCGCGCCAACATGGTGGCCACCACGAGCTCGGTCCGTCAGGCTGAGCTTGGTCTGCTGAGCTCGGTGGCCCGAACAGGTATGGGCCTTGGCCAGCCAGCCAGCCGGGTCCGTCCTTTGGCTCATGATTGGCTGACTGTCAGCTCCAGCCCTGGGCCAACAACCCGGAACCCGTTTTCGTGTCCTGGGTGCGCCGTGGCCGTGGCCGCTCTCGCAACGGCGTCTCTGGCCAGTACTGGGATCAGTGCAGGCAGACAGAGAGATGTGAGACCGGGCGCTCCGCACCGCACCCTTCGCTGCATTCCCTTCACCTCCGCCGCTAAAGAGAGGATCCCGCTTGAACCTTGTCTCGTCTACCTGCCAATATCCTTCAATTCCTCCTTCCCTTCCCTGGCCGGGTTCTCGTCACCTACTTTTTTTTATCCACCTTTGGCGCGTTGCTCGTCGGGTACCAGCGTCGCGAGTCTTTTCTTGTCCCTGTTCAGTGGACTGTATCTATGCATCGGCAGATCACGTCCGGAACCTCTGTCTAACATAATCGCTCTAGCACATATCGCAGAAAGGAGAAGAGGGCATTGGCGAAACATCCAGAACAGGGGGGCTTTACAAGCACGCCTAGGCCTTGTCTGACGTAGCATGGCCGACGATCGCCATCGCAACGACTATCCTCAGCACCGACCAGAGGATCACTATCCGTCGCAGTCGCAGTACCCGCCGCCTCCTGACGCCGTTCAACGCACAGCAGACGACCAAGCGCGCCCCGGCATGGCTGCTCCCTCTGTATCTCTGCCCTCTATGCACGACCCTCGAGCACCAGGCTACGGGCCGCCGCCTGGCAGCCACGGATACCCGTCAGACCACCGCTATGCCTCGCCGAGTACGACGAACGGCTATCCGCCACCGCCTCCTCCGCCTGGTCAGCAGCCGCCTGGCAGTTACCTGCCGCCTCCTCAGCAACATCCCGATCCTCGCGCGGGACAAGGCTACCGAGCCCCCGAGCCCTACCCACCGGGCCGCCAGCAGCCTGGCCCATATGGGCAGGAGCCTCAATACAGGCATCCAGACCCCTACTACTACCAGCAGCAGCCCCCCGGGGCTCCAGGCCCGCCGCCGCCAGCGTACTACCACCAGGGGCCCTATCCCCAAGAATATGGGCCTCCTCAAGGAGGACCGCAGATGCCACAGGCAGCTCCACGACAGAGAACATCCATCGCCTGTAAATACTGTCGCAAGCGCAAGGTAGGTTGTTGGTGAGGTGTAGGGAGGAGATCGATGCTGACACGACCTGCAGATTCGGTGCAGCGGGTATCACAACGGGGGCAAGTGTCAGAACTGCGCGCGCATGAACCAAGAATGCGTCTTCCAGCCAGTCTCGTCAACCAGCGGCGCCGCATTCATTCCGGTCTCTGCAGTTCCTGGCGGCGTCCCACCGGGAACACCTCTATATGGGGCATATGGACAACCGCTGGCGCCCCAGCAAGGGTTGCCTTACCCTCCCCAGGGTGGCCCTCCGGGGCAGCAGCAACCACCGCCGCCGCAGCACGGTCAGCATCCACAGGGCCAACATCAACAGCAGCCACCACCACCCCATGGTGGCTACTATGCCCAGCAGCCGCCGCCGCATCATCAGCAACACCCGCACCCGCATCCGCATCCGTACCCGCACCAGCACCCGCCTCAATATCCGCCGCCGCCGCACCACGGTGAGGCTCCCGCACATGCTCCGGGACAAGCGCCGGGAGTGGGACCGGGGCGACATGCGCAGTCCCCTGCCGAATCGTCGTACTCGTGGACTTCGAAGCCCGAGGATAGCTCGCAGAGTGGCCGACGTCGTCGGAGATCTGAAGAAGATACGGATGCGTACCGCCCACCACCACCTAGGGTCGGCGCCACCGAGGACGAGCCTAGACGCCGCTCCCCGGCCGAGTTTTCGAGCAAAAGCAGTCCTGGCGGGCTACCTATGCGATCCTTCTCGACGCACAGCCCGCGCAACCCGGTGCTTCCCCAGGTGAAGACGGAGAGCCAGCCTGGTACATACAGCGATCGCTCCCCGGGGCAGGCGGCTATGACACAGAGTGGAGGGTCTACGCCAGCTCGCCAGGCACCGGGTCCGAGCGTAACGCCCACCAATCAGCCGGCACAGCTCCAGGGCCAGTCTGGGCAGCAGGGTCAGGGCCAGGGACAGCAGGGTGGACAACAGGGGACGTCGGTCATGAGCTTGAGCAACCTGGTCGACAAGAATGACATTGACAGGGGCATGATGGACAGATTGAATCGGCCGCGCAACCCTGGCGCGCCCGCCAAATAAGGGAAACGACTTGTTGGGACAGGAGACACCATGCGGCGTGGACACTGCCGGACAGCGTCAAAACACACGACAATGCTCCCGGTCCCGCGAGGGATAATCGACGACTTGCAAACGACGCAGAGGAATGATTTGGGATGCGATTGGGGGAATGAGAGGTGGTCTGGATCACCACCATTCACGTCAATCGGGCAACGTCCAAACGGCTCCTGATGGACGGTCCCTTGCCTCGAGCCCGCGACAAGTGCGGGGGCTGCATTCACTTGGATCTTCACTTGGGTCCCCTTGCACTTTGCCTATTAATTTGTTGGTTACAACGCAGCTGGTTTCTCTTGTTTCCCGGGGAGACTGAAGGAGGAATATAAAAAAAAGACACCTGGCCTCACGGCCCAATCAGCGTTACTTGGTTTGTTTTCTTGTTCAGGACATATGCGGAGGAAGATATTATTTTTTCTTGCGTCTGTCTGCCGCGTTGCTCTGTGCCCCTCGTTTGGGGGGTGTGCGCTGTTGTACATACTGGCTATCAACCTAGTGGATACTTTGCGGCATGCTTTCGTCGTTGTTATCCCTTCATACAGAGAGCGAGAGTCCTTGGTCGGCAACGACCGGGTGTGACAGCCGCAAGGCTGTTGGTGGACTTTAGGCGTCAATGCAGATAATGTTGGTACATACATACACTCTGTGATCACTCTCCTCCCAGCAGCAATCGAGGGGTTTGCTGGCCTGACCGCTGGTTCGGCTCTGCACGTCTCTGCCGTCTTACGATCTCTTGGCTGATGATGCGATGGGCGACACGGTATTAGGCACATTGTTAGCTCGCATGCGCCGTAGCGCCGTTCCCAGCTTTGAGGAAAGGATGGGCCGCCTACGGGCCTCTCCCAGGGTGAGGAGAGAGAGAGAGGAGAAGAGAGCCCTTTGTAGCCCAACCCACCGAACTATGGGTCGCCCAGCGCAGGCATGACGACGGGCGAGATGAAGAGGTATTTACCTCGGGACGAATCATGTCTGCCAACAGCCATGGGCCTGTCCTCGGGACCTGGTCCCTGCGTGCGCACTTGCGCTTGCTCGTCTCTGCCTTGCCCCTCTCTCTCTCCACGCAGCTTCACCGTTGGAGGGGGAAGGAGGGGTAGAAAAAGAATACGTATGGCGCTGTATCTGTTCTTAGGTATGACTCCTGCGTGTGCGTATTCGTACGGCTGGACGCGGGAGACCAACAGGTATCTGATGAGATCACGATCAAGGGGAGAAGCCCCGTGATGGACCGAGGATGCGTGTGCTAAGGCAGGGACACGGATGTTGTCAGTGGAGGGGCGGTGTGATGCGATTGCTACCAGCATTACCATTCTGCATGGCCCTCCTCCACCTAGAAGCTGTTCGTCCACCCACGATCCATTCAGTCATGGCGAGCTGGAGGGGCAGACCAGGCAAGAAAACGTTAGCGAGAGTGAAGAAAAAAAAAAAAGAAGATGGCCCCATGATCGACCAAGCTGACGGTACGACCGCTGACACGGAATCATGGCTGCAACCTCGGTGAGAGGGCCTCATGAGGGAAAAGTGCCTCTCCGGCCTCTGACTGGTCGCCTGGTGCTGGCACCATCCCTGGGCTAGTGGCCCAAGGCCAACTTTTAGGTGTGGGTGGGCTCCTGTGACCGCCGGTGTCGTGTCGCGAGGCTGGTGGATGAATAATGACTACGGGGTACGTACGTACGTACATGAATGAATGGGATGGATGAATGAATGGGGTTGACTGGATGCGGCTTTGCTTTGCGGTGTTGGCCACATCCTTGCTGTGTGCACACTGTGCTTGGACTTTTGATGAACGAGGATGTAGCGCATGCAGTACAATACGGTAATACCTCTTTGCAACACGCGGGTCCAGTCTTGGGAGGTGGTCAGGGACATGGGGAAAGGGGAATGGATGACAAGCCGGAGACAACGCTCCCATGTATTGAGGGTTTAACTGTACAACTCTCTTGATCAGGAATGTGGTATTGAGCCAGTGAAGGTCTTGTATCCTTGCTACATGTAGCCAGCAGGTAGTCAGTTGTTAGGCTCTCAATGATGTGTTGCTGTATCGGTACCTGCAGCGCGCGCGCGAGGGCCGCTCCCGGACACCCAACTCTGGTATGGCATCAGATCAGAAGACCGGATGCAGGAGTCATGCGTCTTGGCAGATTCTTGTCTGGGCCTCTCTTCCCGACGCCCTACTGAATTCCTCGTTGGAACGGACGGAGAGTTCTTTTATGGTACGATGTGAAGTCACTAGGGGAACTTTGCGGGTTGAGGAATGCGGGAAGCATCATCGTTTGCGACATGACAACTGTTGTCATATGATGATGATGATGATGATGATGATGATGGTGATCGTGGGGGTATGCCATGGATTGGTAGAGTCGTATAACTTGTATTGCAGTATGAGTCGCGTGCCTGCGTTCGAGGCTCTCTTGTGATGGCTTGTGAGCGGGTGAACCCCTGAGAAAGCAGACTATCAGTCCATCAAGAACGCAATGTCTCAATATTGTCCTCCTAATGCTACCGCTGGCTTCTCGAACATGTCCTGCATCTCTATTTTCCCGTGGCCTTGTGTCTTTGGCATGTCCTTGTCTGAGACACCTGGCTGGCATACTCAGACATTCAGATTGGACCCCTTCCCCCGGGTCTAGGGATGGTGTCATCGATACCCTTTGGAATCCGGGGTGAAGCAGAAGCAAACTCAGAAAGCCGCTGGAACGTGGGAGACTGGGGGAGTTGGATTTTGACTTTGGAAGCTCGACTCTGGGCAGGGTGTCAACGCAACAAAACGTCTTGTCCTTCATTTTGTTGGATAATTCCAACTAACCTACATGTGACAAGCTCTACCGAGAAAGAGTCTTACGTTTACGACTCAAGCCTTTCCGAGGTCCCTCGGGGCCTTCAAGTCATTGAGCTACTACGTACCCCTGAGATGGTTGAGCGCTTTGATGTTCATCCTACACAACAACACCACAAGAGGCGGCTGTTCACACAAAAAAAGAAAACCCACAACTCCAGAGGGCGTCGCCGTGTTCAGCTGCCCTGCGTTCCACTAGCTGCCACGCGTCAGCCCCTTCCTTGGCCTTTATGGGGGGCGAGGGCGGAGGGTGGGAGCGCCATCAGGAAGTCTATCGCCGCCCTCAGCGAACCGTGGCATTATTAGACTTTGGTCCTAGAGGCAGCTGAAGCAGCGGGCTGCCGCAGAGGCACAAGAGGACCCATCCGCCTTGAATCATGGCCCGCCGGACACCGTGTCTTCTGACCGTCCCTCCCACTGTCCCGTTCCGGCGCAAGCTAGCTGTGCGTGAAAAAAGGGGGGGCGTGGGCATCATCAGCGTGTGACTGGAATGTAAAGGAGATAGATCTTACGGTCCCGGGTCCACTGCGATGACCGGAGTTTGTCCTCACGCCACGGGGAGTGCATATAGACTTTCTTCTGTTTCCGCTCGGCTGAAAAGCTTGATGAAAGAAGGTGATGTCAAAGGGTTCTTTTGCAGCCCTCCAAGCGGACTAGGAGGAGGAAGGGAGCGTGCCGATGAACGCCAGCCTGCGGAGGCCCGGAACGTCCGTTGCGCTCCGCGGCTGAAGCGCCAAACGTAAGCCACTCTATGTGTACACTTAACAGCTTGTACGTTGACTGGTAGTGTTGAGGTTTTGACCTCTTTGCCTCCTCTTATTGTACTTTGAAGCCAGGAGGGGTTTACCTTGGGGATATATGATGAATGCAGCAGGGTCTGGTCAATCTACTTGATTATTCAGCATTTTGAATAGTTCTGTGGACTCCTTTTCTGTCAGCTAATGGTAGTCTAGTCTGAGTGTTTCGCCATCAATGGTGGCGGTGGGAAAAGGGGTGACAGTGGGAGCCCCTGAGTCTAGCGAGGTTCACGGGAAGCGCTGTCCCTTTTGTCCGGAGGCGTTGGAAAACTACTATATAGGCAATCTCTCTGTTACTTACGCATATTTTCTTGGTTTATTTTCTGACATTCGCTCTGGATTGTGCCCTGCCGACTCGATCCGATTCGTGACTGAACACAGCATCGACAGAACAGTACGACGGACGAGTCCTGATGATCACCAGCAGCGGGATATTCAGACTCGAACGGAAGAAGGAGCCATATCCTGATCTCAAAACTAAGCTATCCTGTTAACACTGTAGGCTGTGCGCTCGCCGAAGACCTCGACCCCCACTCAAGTTCTCCGGGGCCATTCGCAACTCGAAACGAAGAAGCTTCATATCGGCTTATACAAAAAATGCGCAGGAGAACAAGGAACTCCACACAACGTACAAGAGCAGATGTTTGCCTCGCACTTTCGACGCGAACCCCTCGACCGCCAATGCCCTAGCACTAAACTTCGAAGCAACCATAAGAGAACAAGGAGTCCAGGAATATCACGTAAACATCTTTAGACGATCATTTGATTCTGTCTGAAAGCACAAGACCTGGCTAACGAATACATGAGCGGCCTCGACACGACCAAGCTGGCCATGGTAGTAAATCACCGCACACATCCCGCCGAATATCTCCACCGCCTAGACCCTAGACCTCAGCGTGGTCGGCCTGCCCCCTTGCCTGGTCAATCTTCTCCGTAGGCAGAGAATCCGTCAAACCCATGCTGGCCGCAATCTCCGCCAGCCTGGCCTTCTCCTCGTGCGCAGCCGTGTCCCCAAAGACGGCGTCCATCTCCTCGAGACTCTTGCCCTTGGTCTCTGGGACAAAGAAGTAGGTGAAGAAGAAGGCAATCAGACAGAAGGCGGCGAAGAAAATGTAGGTACCCCAACCGAGTGTCTCGAGCATGTCTGGGGTGACGAGGCCGATGATGAAGTTGCACATCCACGTAGCAGAGGTCGTGATGGCCATGGCCTTGGATCGGCTGCCCAGGTTGAAAATCTCAGAGGGCAGGACCCAGCCAATGGGCGCGAACGAGTAGGAAAAGTTGACATCGTAGACGTAGATGAAGACAATGCCGACCCATCCAGCAGCCTTGTGGTTGACAAGGGTGTCGCCGTACCCGCCGATGATGCCACCGACAATGACGAGGGAGATGAAGGTACCGGCGGCACCGCACATCATGAGTGGCTTCCTGCCGACCCGGTCGATGAAGAATACGGCCGGGAGGGTCGACAGCGTGTTAATGACACCGTAGACACCAGTCGCCAACAGACCTGACGTCTTGCCCGAGAGACCAAGCTGGCGGAACATGGTAGGCGCGTAGTAAATGATGGCATTGCTAGAAAATTGTCAGTCAAGGTACCATCACGCAGGGAAAGCTGTCCATACCATCCCATAAACTGTTGGAGGAACATGGTCCCAGATCCAATCAAAAGACGGAAGAACGTCGGCTTGTTCGTGAACAGAGCAAAGTACTGCGAGAAGAAGAGCTTGACACCCGACTGGCCAGGGAAGTTGTCACGGGTCAGCGACTCGTCAAAGATGACCTCGGCCTTGATCGCAAGGTACTCAAAGCGAAGGGAGTCAGTGTCGGGGTGGACGCGACGCAATTGAGCGAGGGCCTCGAGAGCCTTGTCTTCCTGTTGGCGCATGAGGAAGTAACGAGGTGACTCGGGGAACCAGAGCATGCCAATTCCCAGGATCAGCGCAGGGATGATCTGCACAGCAAAGGGAACGCGCCAGGAAGCCTCGGACTGGCCGGTGCAGCCATTGGGCCCAACATCGTTGCGCGGGTCGAAAGTGCGAGCACCCTCAGTACCGCCGGTGTAAGGGATGTCGGGTGCGCAGCGAACGCCACCAATGTACTGGGTGCCATACTCGAGCCAGTAGCTGATGAGAATACCAAGAGTGATGCTGAGCTGCTGCAGCACAACCAGGGTACCGCGGATGCCAGGCATGGAGACTTCTGACATGTACATGGGTACAACCATGGTCAGCATGCCAACAGCGAACCCAGCGATGGCTCGCCCGATAAAGAGCATCACTATCGAGACGGCGCCAGTCTGGAGAGCGGAACCAATGACAAAGACAACCACGGCGATGAGCATGTCGCCCTTGCGACCGAATCGGTCCGCGACAGGGCCGTTGACCAGTGATCCAGCCCAAGCAAACAGGAGCAAAGTGGCCACGAACCAGCCCTTGAAGCCGCTGTCTGTAGCGATACGCGGGAATGTAGCCGCGAAGGACTCCATGGTCAGGACGCCCGAGACGACGCCTTGGTCATAGCCAAAGAGGAAGCCACCCAATGACGCGAACTGCATTCTGGTTAGTCTTGTGACCGAAGAAGGGTCGACTCTATCTAGAGTTTCGACTCCAGTGACTTACTGCAGAGAGTCCAAGAAGATACGGGTTCTCCTTCAACAGAGCCCAAACACCCTTCTTGGAGGCAGCATCGCCATCAGCAGGTGTCGTGTTGGTAAGTATCTCGGCCATGATGAATAGTTCCTTGAGACCTCAGGAAAGAAAGGTGATGTAGAGTGTGGCAAGATCTTCAACAGTCTTCCAAAGCCTGGGTGTCGTTGCCTTTTAAACTTTTCCCCCGCCAATGTCGCATCGACGCCATGTTGCCCAAATTTCTGTATGATCCTTCAAATCGTGTTGTGCCCCATGGGGAGCGGAGTCGCATGGTGAACCGTTGACGTATCACGACTAACTGCGAGTCACCTGCGTGGAGTCTGGAGTCGGAGAACAGTCGCCCGAGCCAATCGTGACCATCTTGCACAGCGACAGCCATGTGTCTGCTCGGCATCCCGTTCCTAGTGAGCATTTCGCCTAATAGTGCTCCACCGCTTCACCGAGTATCATTGGTCACGTCTCCGCAAGAGCGTGTGGTTTCTCCAACTGCTCCAATGCCACCAACGTCAGAATGCCCGGACGCCTGTGCTCCGAAGTGATGAGAAACGATGAAAGTCCTCCGTGGAAGGTGTGGCGTATGGTCGGATGACGGCCGGAAGCAATCCTAGCTTTCATTTCATTTCCAGAATTCCGACGTCTGTTGTGTGGGAGGACATTGGCTCGACTTGGAGCATCGCTGGCAGCGCAAACAACCAAACACCTCCTATCGGGCAGTAGTTCATGATCAAGATGGCCGTCGACCCTGTGATTCAGAGCCTCAATGGCTTGGACAAGACGACGCAAATGCTGCGGGATCGTATCTTGATGCTTCTTGAGCGTCAGCAGTCGTGCCAGCAAAACAAGCGCATCTTGATTGCGCTTGCTGGTGTCCCTGGCTCTGGCAAGTCGACTGTCGGGAACGCCTTGCTGCGAGAGCTTCCCCTTTACAACGTCAAGGACGTCTGTGTGCTCCCCATGGTTGGTGATGCATTGATCAGAACCCTAGCTGTCAAACACTGACGAGTTACCAGGATGGTTTCCACCACACAAAAGAGGCTCTCATGGCATTTGACGATCCGGCTCTGGCGTTCCAAAAGCGAGGTGCTCCTTTCACCTTTGATGCCGAGGCTTTCTTCAAGCTCGTCCAGACGATTAAAGAGACGCCAGTCACACGACCCGGCGAAAAGGCCGTGACATTCCTGGCGCCAGATTTCGACCATGCCGTGGGCGACCCTGTGCCAGACGCAATTCATGTCTCATCAGCCGCCCGCATAGTCATCGTCGAAGGCAACTATACTCTGCTGAATGAAGACCCTTGGAACAAGATCGCAGCGCTGGTTGATGACAGGTCGGTTCTTTATCATTCTCATAGTGGGCATTGCTGACGTGACTCCAGATGGTTCGTCGATGTTACTCCCGACGTGGCTCGCGAGCGCCTAGCGAAGAGGCACATACAGGCGGGTATTGAGAAGACTTACGAAGCGGCCGTAGCACGAGCAGAAGACAATGATCTTCCCAACGGTGCTCTGATTCGATCAAAGCTGATAAGGCCTGATGTCAGGATATTGAATTGAAAGACGTTTTCCTCGTTACCTGCAGGCTTCTCGTCATTCAAATACCTGGACCTGCTCCGGGCCATCCAAACGGCCCAAAAAATTCCGGCGCGTCGCTTGGCCAGGTCCCAAAGTCAAGCAAACTGTCATCGAGCGGCAGGTTCCACGGATCTGATGCGGCTGGCTGGGCTGGCACAATGGCGCCAAGTATATCTGCACATCTCTGGGCGAGGGGGTTTCCCGCATATGCGATGCGGAATACGTTTGTGACTTTGTCAATGTCTGCTTGCCAGGTAGCCAGCTCAGGCGAGTCCGTGTCGCCTAGGACCGCCAACGCAATCACCAACGATGCATGAAACAAGAAGTATCTAGATCCCGTCAGCGACGCCTCATCACGTGTCGGCAGCGGGCTTACATAGAATACCATGCAACCAAGCGAGTTGGTATACTGGTCTCTGTGAAACTGGAGATGGAAGCGATTGTGGCCCTTGCTGCTGCCACCGCGGCGTCCCGGCTCATGTTCTCAATGTCAGTGGAGAGAGGGAATGGTCCTTGCTTGGCTCTCTCCACGGCTCTTTTCATCAGGATCTGCCGAAACAGGATGATTTTCAGATTCCAGAACCGCCACCAGAGACGGCAACGAGCAAATGAGACCGCCGGCTCGGCGGCTGCGATTTCACTGTCGATTTGGAAATAGGAGGGCAGTCTAGTGACCCAATCATCAAGCTCCTTGTTGAGTGACCAAACATCCTCTGGCGGTAGGCCTGTGGATGATAGAAGCAGATTTGATATGTGATTGGAGTGAACGTGAAGATCGCTTTGCCATTTCAACCCTGCGTATAGAGTTGGCTCCACTGATTCCGTTGGCAAGCTGGTCGTCCGGGCTGTCAGACATTCGTCCGGGATATTCAGCACGGGGTGAACGTCCATGGCCACTTTGCTGGGGAGTATGATTGGTCTCCCGAATGTCGTAGACCGCCGCTGTCGAAGATGTACAAACCCCACCACACTCTGCGTCGCATCTCACGCTGGAGGAGGTTGATGTCCCAGTCTGGGAGCTCTCGATGGAGACCGAGGCTGAGCGCCATTCTTGATGCGAGTCCAAGGAAATTGGATCCAGTGTTGGGCTTGTTCCTCTTCTGGCTGAGATTGCTTAGTAGAACGAGGGCTTGGATCAAGGTCAAGTTGGCGCTTTCAAAAAGCGACTCGTCTTCTCCAAACTGGAGCGCTTTGTGGTATAGATCGTCGTCGACGCCTTCTTGAGACTCTGCAATGCACCACGCACCAAGCGCCAGCACTGTATGCAGGAGCATCTGCCATGAGCGATACCTGGGGCGGGGTATCACCTCGTGGTACTGTGCACGGAAGCTGGCCTCGTGAATGAAAGGGTACGTACGATGGTAGATCGAGAAATAGCTGTCGATGAGCTGTTCAACCACTTGCCTCGATTCGATAGATCTAGCAAGGCGGCTTGATGCACCGATGCGATCATAGTTTTCAGGTGAGTCTCCAAGTCGGCCCTGGGGGCCCGGGCCAAGACCAGGGTACCCAAGCCAAAAGAGCAATGATCTAAGGAAGAACACGCCGGCTGTAGAGCCTATGAGCCACGTCAGCCTGTTCACAATGAGCCATTTGAAGTATTGACTCACCTAAGTATCCAGTGCCTTTCGGTTCGACGGAAAGAGCAGCCATGCCGTCTGCCAGCTCGTTGACATCTTCCTGCCAATCGAACCCGTCCGCTTCGGCTGGCACTGCTTCGGAGATTGATTCTTCCAAGGGAACGTCGCTCGCGGGCGTTTCTGGCCCATGGGTCATGACGGGCGTTGCAGATGCCCTTTTCACCTTGAGCGCTTCGAGCCCACCGGTACCCTGCGACGCCAGTGCTTCTTCGAGATCGACTTCAGGCAGTAACTCTGCAAATAGGTCTTCCACCTGCCGTAGTCTCTGCTCCACGCTCGTGAGATAGCTATAAGCGCATTGTCAGATCTTTCTCGCTCTTGTACGCAGACCGAGGTCATCCCCGCACTGGGGCGTAATAGCTGGTTCACGTACGCTCTGGTCAGAGGCGAACGTGCGATCTTGCCGCTATAGTTGCACACACGTCCATGATGACGACAAGCGCTACACACGGGCCTCTGCTTGGAACACTACCAGTGCCATATCAGTTCCCTGCCCGAATCTCTTGTTGGCTGCGCACACTCACTTTGAGTTTCTTGATGCGGCACGAGTCGCACTGTATCACTCACGTCAGTCCTACGTACAGATGAATCGTGCTTGGGCATTCGACTCACAGCGAGGGTGGTATCAATACTATTCGGCGTTCCCGCCATGAAGAAGTTCGAGTTGCAGCCAATCTGTTGTCGAAAGGTGAGGCTTCTGTCTGGATCAAGACGTGGAGAGTGGCGAGTCTGCGACCAAACGAGAAGGAACCACGGGAAAGACATCGTGTGAACAGTGTTAAATAAAAGTGGATGCACTGTATGGCTCTGCCGCTTACCCTGCACCAAAGGAGAACAACATCGAATTGCGGCTTGGAAACTGCTACAACGTGCTAGTAATACAATATTATAAAATAATACTAGAACAAATGTCGCCGATGGGATTCAGCGTCTCGAAGAAAGGCTTCGGCAATGGTTGACAGCTTAAGGTGCATGCTTGTGCGCTCAATTTGAATGCATTGTTTAAAAGCCCGCTGCGTGTGCCATGATACAAACCACTTCTTGCAATAAACGAACCTACTTGAGATTGAATTCAATCGTGCCTATATCATGGAAGTCAAGAAGGCAGGTGAAGCCATCCTGGTAAAGGGACTGGTAAAGGGCAAACGTGACTCAGGTCGATCCTTGGATCAGAATTCCACCATTGCCCTACGATCCACGCAGACCAGATTGTAGGTATTCGAGATGCCGTGGCTTAGATACATCGAATGAAGTAGCGTTTTTCGTCTAATTACTTATCGAAGAAGGATCTTGTAGTGTGGATCGACAAATCGCCTTGATTGGTTGGGCGATGCCATCAGTGGACAGACAGCACGGTGGTCTTTGGATCATGTTTGCAACCCAAATGCACGACTTCACGCGAGAATCTATAATGCAAACCAATGCAGAGCTCTTACTGCTTCTTTCCTGCATGCCCGGCACTTCAGATTAGTCGACGCTTGACTGAGGGGCGCAAACGAGCCCCAAGATCTCTGCAGCATCGACTCTCTGACCCTGAGCGAATCAGATCTTTGTGAAACAACAAATGCGGCTTAAGGTTGCGAGACGTCTGGTCTTTCTCGAAGCTTGAAGAAGTCCTGAGATATAAGAAGATTGCATAGTCCTTCTAAATAACCTGAATTGCAGTCGCCTAGTACCGCAAACTCTTTGGTCTAGAAGCTATTGAAGCTATTGAGGATCTGTCACGTGGGGTATTCGACTTGTTTATAACCAACGAGAACTTCACATATGTCGGAATCATGGGAGAAATCTACGAATTTTCAATCAAAAGCCAGTGCAAATCATTTCCGACCTTACTGACCTTGACTACATGTACCTGCTTAGCCTCTCTGATGGTGCTTAGGCCAGAAAGCCTCAATATCAAGGTTTCCAGGAAAGACCGAACCCGGCGCAGCGGGAAAACAGGATCAAATGTCTCTCCTCGCGGGCTAAATGTCTGTGGCCGATGCCTTCACTCCTGGTGGATATCCGCCTGTCAGTCTGCCTCAGGTGAGGCGTCGTGGGCCTCCAATACTGCCGGTTGGTGTTGGTTACCGACTGGAACTTAAGTGTGTCTGCCTGGCCGATTCTAATTCCCAACCGTGATAAGCAAGGCATTTTAGGAGAAGCTGTGCCAGCGATGCCAACAATGCCTCGCAGCTGTGCAATTGAAGCGCAGCAATTGTCGCTTTAAGTTCTTGGCGATTGCATTTTGAGATGCACCTCTTTGCTTCAGTGACGCAATAGGCGCCCCGTCGTCGACGGATTCACCCCCATCATGGGGTTAATGTATTAAGCTAAGCCACACCTGATGTTTTCACGGATTGATCAATGATGACATGTACAGCATTCATCACGCCTCGTCCCCAAAGCCCCAAGCCCCAAGCCCCTGGGCGTCAGGGGCGCCTACCCCTTGCTTAGCCGATGAGCCGATTCAAGACTGTGCACTTTGCATCTACACCGCCATAACAAACTCTTACACATTTTAACGTGCCTATAATGGAGAGAGAGCATGAAGACGACGAGCTTTCTGAAAACGCTATACTATTGCTACGCGTGGGTCTTGGCCAATCTATGTCGGCTCATTCAGGGGCACATTGCCAAGATTATAAGACAACATCGTAATTTTGAGGTACTAGTCTGTGATAAATCTCCCAGAAGGTCCTAGAGGCAAAGGTGACACGGGCAGTGCATCTTTTGGGGCGCGGTAGTAATAAGGCGACGAAGTTTACTGTCAGGACTTCTACTAACATCTGCGGCACACGACGTACTGGAGCCTGTTGTCGGTGAAGAACTTCCACAAAGTAGCACGACACGTCACAGATATGTTGTGTAACATATTGTACGTCCAATAGAAGTGGTATGAAGCTTTTGCTACACCATGTCACAACGTCAAGGCCAACTTTGGCCTCAGCGCTATCGGTGATCAGGGCGTCGGCGCAGCGATTCAGGCGTCATTTGGATATGAAAGTCTGGTTCTAGGCAGCTCGGTATTATGAAATTCACGGGCAAGGTATGAGGAAGAGCGGTGTATCCAGAGGCCCCATGAATTTGCTTGAGGTATAAGAATGATACCGCCTCTCAGCGATCAGAAACGATGCTGAACACATCAATACTCTGTTCCAATATCTTCCAAAATCAAGAAGAACACCCTTTCGGCAAATTTGAGACTATTTCCTTTGACGTGTGGAGTAACTCGTCACCACAATTCATCATGGGTTCTGTTTTCCTCTGGGCCTGCCACCACTGTGGCTTCGACGGTCTCTTTACACAGACCACGTCTGTCTGCGTTGAATGCGAGCATCGCCGTTGCGATGTATGCAAGGTTTACGAGAGTTGAGCTTCTATGTCGTTTTCGGCATAGGGGCACAATAATACATGCGGACACTTTGCGAATATAGTTGCATGGAGTCCATCGACGCATTTGACATTTGGTAGCACGACTGCCCACATGTAAGCAGATCATCCAAGCAAAGTTTGACGACATCACTAATTCTGTAGCAACAGATCTCGTGAGACTCGGCTCTCTGGCCGTCATCCGCTATCCAGGTCACTCGCTTGATCCCCGGCGGGAGGTGGTGCATTCATGTTTGTTGGGCTTTCATGCATTCTGTCTTTTCGGTCAAATTTCTGGGAATGTTTGGCGGGTTCGGTCCTCTGATTTGGTATAGGAAAAGGACGTCACGTATGTTTAGACTAGAATAGACCTGGTAGATGGTAATCTCCGTTTTAACGCCTTATCACTCTACATGTATAGACCAGGTCATTGTCCTCGCTCAGGGGGCATCAACCTGGATTTCCAGCAAGTCGGTCAAGCTCGCATGACCTCCTAGACCCCCTTGCCTTTTTTCGTCTTTAGCTCGGTTACCTCGAGTCGCGCCCGCCACCGCGGGATATCGCGAGATCTGGTTTGGGCGGGTTGTCACTTGCATCACGATCCTCGCCTTATGCTAGACGTAACTGATATATCTTAGTCCTGATGTTAGAGTTGATATATTCCTTGTTTCAGGAAATCCGATTCCTGGCCTGAGACTGTTATAATGATCCATCCTCACGCTGATCATCAGCATTGATGTGTACTTGGGAAGTCTGCAGCCGAAGATCGACTCTCGTGTGGCCAAGTACATGGAAGTCTCGATGCTCTAGACATGAGAATCATGATACAAATGCAAGTGCTAAAGACATTGGTTCCACTTTTGATGTTCTTCTATATCATGCGTGGGCTGAACATGTCGGACTCAGAAAGTATTGAGATAGGCCACCAAGGAAATGGGGTAAAAGGGGGCACCAGCCAGCAAGAACACGCCATTTGTTCATGTTTGTACGATACAATATGTCAACGAGCGTCGCACACCGAAATTCTCGAAGTCCTGTATGCATTTCTCCATATGGGTTCTACAAATATTGGGCGTCGTTTTGAGCACATTGGCCTTTGGCACCTATGCGGTGACCAAGCACAAACCACGATGCCGGTTGCAGAGCCAACACGTGACACTCACGCTCCTGAATTCCAAACATGCTTTGATATTGTATTTCTCGAGCTTTTGGAGAATGCATACTTTCTTTCGCATACTTCCGCCAGGCACAGTTGATGAGTGTCACCCTTGCGTGGTACGGTGGATCCGGCACCCACGAAGTGTATATGTAAGGAGTCGGCCCGTATGGTCACAAAAGACGGCCAGTATGAAGCGGCTATGTCTCGCCTCCATCTAAAGACATCTTGCTAATCGCCACCAGCCTTTGATTGTCCAGAGCTCACTCACACGGAGTCCAGGGTCTAGCCTAGGGTTCAGGGTTGCGAACATTGATGCTTATATCATGCGACGATGGTCTTTGTTCTTGCTTTATTTCACAGATAAAAGAGAGGGGCTTTATCGTACAGAGTCTGTGATACAGAGCACGAACGAACGGTATGGCGATCTCCCAGCTTCCAGTCACCTCGTGACAAGGTTGTGTCTTTGGGTTGTTTAGGACAAGTCAAGAAGCTCGGTACATTCTTGCGGGAGGCTCTACGCAGGAGTTGTATAAAAATCGCCTAAGCTTCAATCATGTCTTTCAAGAACTTGAGCGGCGATGTTGATGCTCACTGACACTGTGTGGTTTGCGAAGTTGTCTGGATCTGCACGCGAGGCAGGCCGCGCGCAACAGTGCGCCGAAAACCATCGCACTGTCGGCGCACTGTAACTGTGACGATGATGGGACAACCTCCTTTGATTCCGTCACCATCGTCAACCATTACGCGCTTCACCAATCCTCCACACGCGCCATGCCGCGATGCCGCCTTCCGACGCTGCCAACCGCAACGCGACGCGTTGGGCGATCCGTATAGTGCCTATATTCATCTTTGGCGCATTTGGCTTCTCCGCATATGCCGTCGTTGCGCATCTGTGCGGTTCGTGCCACTAAGCGCTGATCTCGTTGACAAGCTAAAGCTGACCACCATTGTCGCAGTGAATTATCTGTACCGTCAGAAGTACCAGTATGGGACGGCGATAGCGCTCATTGTGCTGTACGCAGTTTTCTATCTGCTCACGCTTTGGTCCTACCTGCGAACATTAATCATTGCGAACACCGACCCTGCCTTCGTACCATATACCGAACGTCGCGAAACCGCCGAGAAGGAGCGAAAGGCTGTCAAGGCAAATAGGAAAGCAAAGGGGGGCGACATCGAGTCCCAGGAAAGTTGGCTGCCGGCCGATACGGACCCTGACAGTCCCGGACTCGAGGCGTTCTACAGCAAGGACGTCTTCATCTGCGAGTCCGACGGACGTCCGAGGTGGTGCTCATTATGCTGGAATTGGAAGCCGGACAGGGCGTCGCACTCGAGCGAGCTGGAGCGTTGCGTGCGCAAAATGGACCACCTTTGTCCATGGGTTGGAGGCATGATTTCCGAAACAAGTAAGGAATGCGTCGCAAGGCTACGTACGTAGGTGGTGCTGACTCTCACAGACTTTAACTTTTTCACGCATTTCACATTCTACTGCACTCTTTTTCTTTCTGTTTGTTTGGGAGCGGCGGCGTACTGTTTGCGACTGCAGCAAAAAGAAGGGCGATCACTGGACGGCATAATCGTAGCAGTTCTCGTCCTTGCCGGCTTGTTCGGGTTTTTCGCCTTTGGCATGACAGCAACATCCGCCAGGTACATCTTTCAAAACATCACTAATATCGACGTGCTTCGCCAAGACCAGCAGCAATACCTGGCTATCCGCGTGCCTCTTGATAGCCCTTCTACACCAACATACTGGACGGTAACATACCCTCTGACGACTTCAACTCGGGCGCCTCTCGGTCGGAATGGCGAGCCTCCGCCACCTGCGGATGGGAGGGCAAATGTCCCAAGTGAATCAAAACCCACGCCGCCGAGCGCAGCAAAACGGGATGCGGCTGCGCGCAGAACATTTGCACTCGTGAAGACGGAACTTGGGGAGAACCCATTCGACCTGGGCCCATGGCGGAATTTCAAGTCGGTAATGGGCAACGGCCCACTCGAGTGGCTACTACCAATGTGGCATTCACCATGCTGCAACCATGACAGTATACACAGCGATTACGAGTTTGGGCCGTTAATTGATGAGTTGCGGAAGCGATACAAGCTCCCAGCAACCGACGAGAACGCCGAGGCGAATGGAGGCTCATAAACAGTAGCTTCAAATACTATAATGATAATCTTGGGTAATCAAATACTCTTCCTGTACGGGAGACTCGAGTTTGAATTCATTTCCACTCACCGTGGCTGGATCACGTGCGTCGCGTCAACGATGACGGGGTCCAAGTGCTCTTGGTGGGGCAGCGTCGCGCTTCAACCACAATGCCAACATCTAAGCGCGTCTGGCCATCGCAGTCCATGAGGTAGGAGATCTGTCCACCCACCGACCATGTGGCCTGAGTGACCTTGAAGCCGAAAATGCCATCGTCTTCATTACATGGTGGTTCTTCACCATTGCGCGGCACATCGCTGCGACGCTCCAGGTTCACATATCGACAGCTTGTCCAGTTGGCATCATATCAGACCTCGAACCCGCTCCGTGTCATTGCGCACATTGATCTCGATGCCTTCTATGCGCAATGTGAGATGGTGAGGCTTGGCATACCTGAAGATAAGCCCTTGGCAGTCCAGCAATGGTATGTCACGTATCCAGCCTCATGCAAAGAACGATACACTGACAGCACCAAGGCAGGGCCTCATCGCAATCAACTATGCCGCCCGTGCCGCAGGTATTGGCCGGCATTGCAACGTCGAAGAGGCCAGAAAACTCTGCCCCAACTTGATTGCTCAGCATGTTGCGACATGGCGAGAGGGCGACGACAAGTGGGCTTATCGTGATGATTCTGCGGCCAACATTGTGACCGACAAGGTGTCCTTGGATCCTTACAGGCTACAGTCGCGCAGAATCCTCGCCACCATCAAAAACGCCCTGCCCCAGGACCTGCAGAAAGTGGAAAAGGCGAGCATCGATGAAGTCTTTCTTGATCTGTCCGCGCAAATTCACGCCATCCTTCTGGAGCGATTCCCTGAGCTCAACAACCCGCCGCCATACGATGACCCTACCGAGAATCTGCCCCTCCCATCGATATCCGCCCTCGATTGGGAAGCGGACGCTTTGGTTGATCTTGATGAGGAAGAAGAGTCCGCTGACCCGGACTGGGATGATGTAGCCATTCTCATTGGATCTCAAATCGTGCGAGATGTACGTGCCCGCATACGGCAGGAATTGGGCTACACATGCTCCGCGGGAGTAGCGAGCAACAAACTCATCAGCAAGTTGGGCTCTGCCTTCAAGAAGCCCAATCGCCAGACCGTTGTACGTAATCGAGCTGTGGCCCTGTTCCTGCGCGACTTCAAGATTACGAAGATGCGCAACCTCGGCGGGAAGTTGGGTGAGCAGGTAGTGTCCACCTTCGGCACTGATCAGGTCAAGGAGCTACTTGACGTACCCTTGGAACAGATGAAGAACAAGTTGGGCGCGGAGACAGGACTGTGGGTGTATAACACCACCAGGGGCATTGACACGACCGAGGTCAACTCTCGGACGCAAATTAAGTCGATGCTGTCTGCCAAATCATTCCGTCCCACTATCAGCACCATGGAGCAAGCCGAGAAGTGGCTCCGCATCTTTTCGGCAGACATCTTCTCGCGTCTGGTGGAAGAGGGTGTGCTCGAAAACAAAAGACGTCCTCGTACCATCAACTTGCATCATCGCGTCGGTGGACAGATGCACTCGAGACAGGGGCCTATTCCGCAGGGAAAGACTCTGGACGAGAACTCGCTATTCGAGCTGTCAAGGGATCTTCTGCGTCAAATCATCGCTGCTGGCAACGTCTGGCCGTGTGCCAATCTTAGCCTGAGCGTGGGAGGCTTCGAAGATGGCGTAAAAGGGAATATGGGCATCAACGCTTTTCTGGTAAAGGGGGAAGAGGCAGAGTCACTTCGATCAGCCACTCCCGAAACACGGCCCAACTCAGCAGGCCCTGACAGAAACACCAAGAGACGGCGCGTTGGTGACGGTAGCATCCAGCGCTTCTTCGGCAGACAAACTTCAACGGCAGGTGCTACCACTGGCGAAACCTCGCCGGACACTCCTAGCATGTATCGCGATGAGTCTGGAGACCAGGCGGTCGACGCGCCTCGACATGTTTGCGCCATGCAGCATGCTGAGGCACGCAGATGCAGCTCGCCCGACATGCTGCACTGCTTGAGCTGTAAAGAGGACTTTGCAAGTGCAGAGGAGCTACAGAGTCATCAGGACTGGCATATGGCAAGAAGCTTACAGGACCAAGAGGAACGTGTCGGCTCCGTATTCGCCAATCGTCCTGCTGCTGCGCGCAGCTCGGCACCAAAGGTCACCGGGTCGGCTTCGAAGCGGACTCGCGGCGGCAAGTTGGAGCAAGGCCAGAGCAGGCTCAACTTTGGGTGAATGAGCGTCCAAGGGCCTGTTATTCCGACCTCAGAAGTCCCCAGCCGTGATGCTATGCATATTGCATTAATCAGGGGCCAGCATAAGGACGTCCGAGAGCTATGCACACATCATCCTCTTCATATCAACGCCGACTGGTTCACAGTCTAGCGGACTGAAGTCGGCTTGCACAACATGTCGCGCGGGAAGCGGTGTCAGCCTCTGACGCAGCTTATTCAGGTGAGCCGCTTGGTTATCCATTTTCTCCCTACAACACACGAGACGGTGAGGCCTGGTGACGGTGGCTGGCAAGCAAGACAATCGTCGAAGCTACTATCCCCGATTAGTCACCGGTGGAACGGAGCTAGGATCGCGACTTGCGTCTCGTGAACTACCTCAGCGGATCTCATCGCACTCTCGCACGGCACATGCGCTTCAGAGCTGCCGCCAATTGTGCTTGTGCGGTCACAATCATAATGGTGAGCACTTGTCGCCACCATAGGAGGACATGTGGATTGATTGGATAGCACGTCATTGGGCTCCGGTGCGACTGGCGAATGGACAATGCAGGTGGTGCTGCGACGTTGGGCTTTGGGTCTTGCGAGGCGTTGATACCCAACCCGTCATCCGACCATTTTCAACGCCAGTGTAGCGTCTCACGCATCGGGATTGCCCGCCTGTGGCGCACCGCAGCCGCTACGCAGTACATCCAGCAGTAATCAGCAATCAGTTACCTATCAAATCTGGATCCATCTCCCCTTGCCTGCATCATCTGCGTGTTGTTCGTGAATTCGCAGCAATGTCACGCTCCAGCCCTGTAGCGTGTTGCTTAATCCGAGTGATGCTGAGATTTGTGGACCTTGTTGAAGATGACACAGGGAGGACATTCTGAGTGAACTCGAAGAAGCCCCAAGTCGTTTCACAAGTTGATTACTACGCACTTCACTGGTCTCGACGTTTATTAAGACACAGGCTGCTCTAATTAGCACTTGACGTTAGGTCGCTGCCCAACTTGCGATCGTCGCGAAGGAACCAGGTTCAGCCCAGTCTGGCTCTATGGGTACTCGGTCAGGCTGGGCGATTAAGCGAGATGGTGGTTGGTTTGGCACAAGAGCCGAGCGCTTCAGCTGCTGATGCAAGCGACATTGTGCTTTTGATGGCGCGTTAGAAGCGTGTCTGTATGAAATGCAGTGCAGATCCAGGAAGTAGCCGCAGATGTTCGCAATGTCGAGATGCCCATGTAATCAAGATACGTGCAGTGAAGGAAGGTGGTGAGGGATGTATCGCGGCAGCCCTTTTGGTCGTCGTTCAAGTTGGCTGTTGGGCCACCAGGATTGTGAGTCCGTCGGAACCATTGGTGAAAGATGGTCCAAGGGCAGCCAATAAGGTCAATACATGAGCTGGCCACACCTGCAGCGGCGCTGATGTCCGATGGACGCCTGGCGTTAGCGATCCAGTCTGAGCTCCCAGCAAAACCTGCACGGATTTTCCAGCGCCCCCTCCATGCCCAGCCGCTCAGGCTCAGGCTGGTGGATGAATGGGTACGTCGCGCTCGCAGCACGCACCGACTGACCCCTGCTCCTTCCTTGCAGAAACACAGGGCAGACCCCGTCGGTCGCTCTTGCCAGCTCAGGGCCTCAGGCTTGCCAACAACTCTGGCCGCCCCCCCCTCTCGAACCCCGTTTTCTACCTCTTCTCTTCAACCCCCCCGACGGTTGCCTCTGGTCTGTAGCCAACTCAGTTCTCGCACTGCTTTCATTTCCTCGTCGCTTGACATCAATCTGTCACGGCTGAACTGGATCCTTTCGACGCTTTAATCTCTACGTCGACGAACCGTACAGTATCGCAGCCATGTCGAGACAACCCCGCAGCCACGGCGCGGCACCTACCGCTGCCTCACGCCAGAATGAATACTTCGTGCCTCGCGACGGCATCGATCGCGAAGTCATCTCGGCAGATGTGTGTCGCTACCTTGGGAACGATGCTCTGGTTCGACCTGGTCACTACGAGGATCCTCAAACTGGACAAGTTGTTCAGGGTTACTACATCACGGCGTACCGAAACTTGACAACCGTGAGCTCCTGTCGCCTTGCCCGAGTGATCGACCCACATACTGAGACTTCTTCTTTTGCAGGCAATGATCGAAGACTTGAAGGCCGACTCTGCGCGCTGGGATAACGAACGCCGCGCGCAGACGTCGCGCAACACTGCTGGAGGTATATTTACCTCGAGATCTGCCTCCGGCGTACCTGCCAGATCAACATCTAACTCACCCATAGTGCAGTACCGCATGTCCGAGACGCACCACTCGAGGCAATACCATGGACCAACCGAAGGACCCGTGCAACAGGACCCTTATGCTCGTGAATCTGCCTTGAATGGACCCAGATACCCTGGAACTGGTACTCCTGGCTATACCGGTGCCGCTGGCGGGTACCAACAACAGCCTGGATATGCTCCCCCTAGTGGCGGAGGCTATGGTGGCTACCAACAGCCCCCCTCACAGTCTCCTCAGCCGGATCCTAGATATGGAAACTCTTACCAGCCGGCGCCGTCGTCGGGAATGGACCGTGGATTTTCCAACGCTCAGGACAACCAATCTCCGTACATCCACACTGGATCAAACATGACAAGCCGAGGATACCCTCCCAATGACGGCTATTCCGGACAAAGATTGCCTTCTTCATCGGGTGCTCCTCAGCAACCCATCTATGCCTCGGCCCCTCCATCTCAGACTGGTTATACCACTACTTCACCTTACCAGCAGTACCCCCAACATGCATCTGGCAACCAGCCATACCAATCGATGCACCCTGCGGAAGCTGCCGCTTATGGCCGAGGTAAGTAGCCGGCGAGCTCCACCAGCCAACCTCTTCCCACGTTTTCTGCTTCAGTCGTCTGATGATTTAGCGTCAGCCTCGCCCGCAGGTCAAGGAGCTCCTCAACCACCTCCCGGTTTCTCACAAGGTCCCTCGTATGGTGAGACTCCTAGCAACCGGACTTCTGTACCCCCCGTGGCACCTCCCACATCCTCAAGTGGCGCCAACAAGCGTCGCAGTGAACGTGACGACGACAGGCATGGATCGTCAGATCGTCACTCACGCCAACCCCGGCGGTGAGCACTGCCAAAAGGACTATGGCCTAATGATCAGCCGATCACCAGGGGTCCTTCTTTAAATGACCATGCGATGAATCTTTCTTGCATATCCAGGATACTTTGCCATTGGAGTTCGAATACTGGATGCGGCGTTCTTGATTTTATTTACCTCCTGGAACATATTGGATCGGTCAACTTTTCTTGAAGCATTGCGTCGAATACCTTCTCTCCTTCCACCCGGATGGATGCGGACGCTTGGACAAAGTGCTTTTGAGCAGTGCTTGTTTTCACGGCAGCCGCCTGTGCTTGGACCATGGAGCCCGTGCTTTATCGGCATTCGCAACAAACTGGACCCCTCTCGCGTACTAGGAGCGATTTGCAATTTATGAGACCCACGGCCGTTGGGAGCGAGGTTTGAGCATTTCCTGGAGTAGCTGGTTGGGATAGCTGGGAAAAGATTGGCTTCGGTGGACGAAGCCATTGACTAGAAAGGACCTGCAAGCGACTTTACTGTCCGGACACTCGGCCATGGGTGGATTTTCTGTGCTCGTTCTTTCCGGATCTGGGACATAATTTCTACCCAAGGATTTCCCATCAGGTCCAATTGGTCAGCGCATGCATGCATCGCTTTGTTAATACATGGTAAGGCCCAGTGTCCGGGCGGTGAGGTGAGTCGTCTTTGCAATTGTATATACTACCATTGTTCAAAGGACACATTGTTACCTCACGTTTTCTTCTACCTGGATCATCTCCTTGGCCTCTTGATGGAGATTATCGTACTAACTAGACAAGCCCGTGGTCTACGTGACAATACGCCACTTGACTAACGCAGGTGGAACTGCGCTTGTTTTCCGAGCAAGCTGCCATTCTCGTTCACTGGCAACATCCGGACGCTGGCAACTTTGCACTTTGAACCACTGGACCCAAACCTCAAAAAGCGAGGGCCGAGAGATGGTTAGCATCGTGCGAGCCGGATATCAGAATATTGACATATAGACTCCGGCGTCAAGCTCTCACTCATTTCGACGCATCATGGTTCGTCTCGGCAATCTTTATTAGGCTACATCGGCACACGTCCGCCTTCGAACTCGTGCATCGGACCAAGCATCGTTGCTTCTCTGGTGGTGGTTACGGCTTCGTGTGGAGTCTGCTTCTGGCGTTGTTCGATAAGTTGCAGCCTTGCCTAGTCGAGCCGGCAACGTCCACTTTGCGGTATAGGGTGCTCAAGGCTCAAGGTTTCATGGGGCAGTGATCGCGGGACGGACCAGGCTGGCGGTGCTGGCACGGGTGGCTTCAATGGGTGTCGATGGTGAGCGCGGGCCCTCCTGTCTTTGGGTGAGGATGTGATGGGCAGGTCTTCAAAGTCAAGCAATTGTGGACGGTGTGTGTGCGTCGGGGGCAGTCTATCAACTGTGCTGCGCTGAAGTCATTCTCCAGTTTCATGCATTTTTGTGTCTTCGCTCTCCTTCTCGAAATTGTCCGGCACATGGTCCTTATTACATAGGAGTCAGGACCGTAGGTCTCGTCATTGCTTTGCGTATTCGTTCCGAGATGACTCCACAAAACCTGTCACTGCTCTTGAGTTTGTCGATCCAGGGCACGAACGCCATTTCGCTTGGTCAGGCCGGGCCGCTTGATTCTGGCTCAAGCCATGAGTTAGTTAGTGTAGCTGAAAAAGTGCTGGAGTGGCAATGATCATTTGGACATGCAACACCTATGGCATGTTCACCTTCCATATGAAAATATTCGACAGCATGCCCCGTGAGTAAATTGGGGATTTGCCAAAACTGAACGAACACGAGACGAGAGAGCAGGGCAAGCATGGTTGAGGAAACGCATCCTGAGAACTACTTGTAGGGTAGGCATAGAAAAATTTCAAGTTTCCAGAGTCTTGCGCAGAGCCCAGATGCTCACATTTTACGGGGACAAAGATCACTCCACTCGGGTCTGAATTAAAGCGCTTGGAAACATCTGTTATCCGTTGCCAACACTTTTTTCGAGCAAAATGACTTTTGCTATGCCACGCTGGGCAAGATAAGCTGAAAGAGTCAAAGACCCTGACCCTGCCTATATGACGACAGCATGGGAAAAGCAACCATCAAAGTGGGATGCAACTGCACAACCAGCCACGCCTGATTCGCTGTTTTGTGGGTAAATTTCGCCCACCGCCTCTTGAGCCAGCTAGCCCTGGATTAGCCGAGACGGCGCATCTTGGTCTGTTCGCTAGCAGAGGGACTGCAGAACCCCAACGATGGACCTTGCCGGTAAATTTCTGGGGCTTTCTGCCACGCACAATTAAGGCGCTGGGCACAAGTGCGACTCAAACTGCTAGTCATGGGGCGGCAAGGGAACGTGGTCGAAAGCCTGTCATAATCTTCAATTGAAACATTTTCAGACCCAGTACTGGTTGAGATCTCAAAAGTACACAACTGCTCCCTCAGTTGCCCGACGCTGTTAGCTCTATTTAGGTCCTGTTAGACTCTCGCGAGCCCGCATATGCTCAATCAGTGGCATTTCGAGTGCCCCGCCATTCGCAGCCCACCAAGCAAGCATCCATCCCACTGCACGCCGCTGCCAGGCCAGCCCACCACCACTATCTTGAGGCCTGGCCCAAATCGACTTTCTTCCCACCACCGTCCGACTCTGTCAGTTCAGCAGCCGCCAAAGACGGACGACCACCGCTCAACGCACGCCCGTAGGCAGCGAACCCCTACGGCGAACTCGAGATATATCGTATCGAAAGCAGAGATACCAGCAGCTTTAGCCCGGAAACCGTCCACGGGCGCGAACCCTTCATCATGGATCCAGCGGCCATCAGGGGCTTGCTCGCGGCGAGCTTTGACCCGGACACTGACAACCGGCGTCGCGCTGAAATGCAGCTGAAGCAGGTGTGTTGAGCCTTTGCGCCTCCGGTACGATCGCTAACGTGTATCAGATCGAGGACAATGCAGGTTTTCTCGACTGTCTCTTCAACATTCTCGACGCCGAACAAGACAACAGTGTTCGACTCTCCAGTACGAAATATCTGCTCCGCTCCATGCGCTACCGAACAACCCGCCCGCTAACGCAAGGAAATAGCTGTTATCTTCGTCAAGAATCGTGTCCAGCGCGCCTGGTACGTCGCAGAAGGCCAGACGGAACCTGGGATAGCAGAGGAGGAAAAGGCCCGCGTTCGCGACCGACTCGTGCCTCTACTGGCGGCATCGCCTCCTCAAATACGAGCGCAACTCTTGCCGGTCCTGCAGCGCGTGCTGCAATGCGACTTCCCCTCGAGATGGCCTCGCTTCATCGACTTCACAATGGAGCTACTGAACACTAACGACCCCAACTCCGTGCTCGCCGGTCTCCAGTGCCTCATGGCCCTCTGCCGGGCTTTCAGGTACAAGTCCACCGACAGCCAAGACAGGGAGCACTTTGACAAGATTGTCGAGGCTAGCTTCCCCCGTCTGCTGACCATCTGCAACGAGTTGGTGAACCAGGAGAGCGAAGAGGCGGGCGAAATGCTTCACCTTGCGCTTAAGGCGTACAAGCATGCTAGCTGGGTAGGCCTACCTTGGAAGCGCGACGCTGAACATCGGAATACTAACTCTCGCAGCTGGAGCTTTGCCCCCATCTGAGGGACGAACAGGTCAACATTGGCTGGTGTACAGTTCTTCTCGGCACTGTTTCAAAACCTCCGCCACCCAGCGCTATGGAGGGCGATGATTTTGATCGTGAGAAGAACCATTGGTGGAAGGCCAAGAAGTGGGCATACTTCAACTTGAACCGTTTGTTCATTCGGTACGGCAGTTGTCACGTACGCGAAGTTTCAGAAGTGCTAATGTGGGTAGACACGGGAACCCCTCGTCCACCGGGAAGGGAGACGAGGCGCTTGTCTTCGCCAAGAGATTCACCCAGCAGATTGCCCCTGAGATCATGAAGCACTACCTCGCCGAGATTGAGAAATGGGTTGCTAAGACCGCCTGGCTCAGCCGTCCTTGCCTTTCCTACACGCTGATCTTCCTCGACGAATCCGTCAAGCCGAAGGAGATGTGGGTTCACTTGAAGCCTCACCTGACGAATCTTGTCACGCATTTCGTGTTCCCCATCCTGTGCCTCACAGAGGATGACCTCGAGAAGTTTGAGGATGAGCCTCAGGAGTACTTGCACCGCAAGCTCAACTACTTTGAGGACGCCGCCGCGCCCGATGTCGCTGCGGTGAACTTCTTGGTCAACCTCACCAAGAACCGGCGTCTGGAGACCTTTGAGATCTTGAAGTACGTGAACCACGTTGTCAACGAATACGAAGCCCAGCCCGACGACCAGAAAGATCATGTGCGCAAGGAAGGTGCGCTTCGCATGATTGGCACTCTCGCCCCGGTCATCCTCGGGAAAAAGAGTCCCATCGCCGGTCAGGTTGAATACTTCTTGGTTCGCTACGTGTTCCCCGAGTTCACCAGCCAAAAGGGGTACCTGCGTGCTCGTGCTTGCGACACAATCGAGAAGTTCGAGCAGCTGAACTTCCAGGACCAAAACAACCTCATGACCATCTACCGCCACATTCTCGAGTGCATGGCCGACCCGGCCCTGCCAGTGAGGGTCACGGCCGCCTTGGCTCTGCAGCCTTTGATTCGCCACGACATTATCCGCAATGAAATGCAGACAAGTATCCCTACGATTATGCAACAGCTGCTCAAGCTCGCAAACGAGGCCGATATCGATGCATTGGCCAATGTCATGGAGGACTTTGTGGAGGTTTTCGCGGCCGAGCTCACTCCCTTTGCCGTGGCTCTTAGTGAGCAGCTGCGCGACACGTACCTGCGCATCGTGCGAGAACTCCTCGAGAAGGAGGCAGCGGCTGGTGATGATGGCGAGGGTCTGACAGACTACGATGACAAGAGCATTACCGCCTTGGGTGTCCTGCAAACCATTGGGACGTTGATCCTGACTTTGGAGAGCACACCCGATGTGCTGCTGCACATCGAGGCTGTCCTGATGCCTGTCATCAAGGTCACCCTCGAGAACAAGCTTTATGGTCAGTTCTCGATCCTTCGGTGACTTTTATAATATGGCACTGACAAATCTAGATCTGTACAACGAAGTGTTCGAAATCATTGATAGCTGCACATTCGCAGCCAAGAGCATCTCTCCGAACATGTGGCAAGCTTTCCAGCTGATCCACACCACCTTCAAGGCCGGCGCCGAGTACTACCTCGAGGATATGTTGCCCGCGTTAGACAACATTGTGCGCTACGGTGCCGTACAGCTTGCTCAGACGCCCGAGTATATCCAGGCACTCTACTCCATGATCGCCGACATGTTCACAGAGGAGGTTCAGGGCCTGGAGCGGATAAGCGCATGCAAGCTGGCCGAGGCTATGATGCTATGCCTGCAGGGATCTATTGACCAGTGCGTTGAGGGCTTCATCATCATGGCGATGAATATCCTCGGCGGTCCTCAAGAGGTCAAGGTCAAAACCACGAGGATTCATCTGATGGAGATGGTGATCAACGCCATCAACTACAACCCGGTGCTTGCGCTGCAGGTTCTCGAGAGCAAGGGATGGACCAACCGCTTTTTCAGCTTGTGGTTCAGCCACATGAACTCGTTCAACCGCGTGCACGACAAAAAGCTGTGCATCATTGCCATTACAGCTCTGTTGAACCTAAACCACGACCAGATTCCTGCCAGCGTCTCGGTTGGCTGGCCGCGCTTGCTACAAGGCGTCACTGAGCTTTTTAGGACGCTGCCCAATGCGCTGAAGAACCGCGAGGACGCCCTCCGCGATGACTTCCAGTTCAGTGGCAGCTACGACTACGGCGACGACGATGAGTGGGCTGATGAGGAGGCCAACTGGGACGGCGAGCAAGACACCGCCGCCGAGACTGAGGTGACCGCCGAAGTCAAGGACGAGAGCGCAGCCTACCTGGACTTCTTGAATGAAGAGGTGAGTCCCACCGACGTGATCGAGTGCCCAAGATGCAACAATATTAACACACTTTACAGGCCCAAAAGTTTAGCCGCGCTATCGACGACGACGCCGACGATGATCTTGGCGAAGAGGAGAACCTGTTGGACTCCCCTCTTGACAAGCTGGAGCCTTACTCCATGTTCAAGGGTGTCATGCTCCGCATGCAGCAGGATCAGCCCCAATTCTACACATCTCTCACATCGCAGCTGTCGCCTGACCAGCAGGGCGTTTTGCAGAGTGTTATGGTCCGCGCGGACGAGATCGCGATGGAGCAGCAGCAGCTAGCCGAAGCAGTCCAGGCGTAGGGCATATGCCCCAACTGACCCTTGCGCGAAAGAATGCTGTGCAGTCCTGCATCGACCACGAATGCCGACAGGGTGCATAGTATAGGTCTTTAGCCGGGACCCTTTTGAACAGCAACGCAATGGCACATTGGAAGAGGATGGTCGCGGCTTCCGAACCCGGCCGCACCTTGAACAATAACGACACGAGCGTATGATAGACGTGCCCTAGCAGCACAGCGACGGGGTGGATGAAAAGTCAACGGACGGAAGACAATTAGATAGTGCAAACCGATTCATGTTCCTTGTGGTGACGAATGAGTGGCGGAGGGATGGAGACTTGGAGTCTATGTAGCGAGGTGACTCTGGACGGACGATACCAAAGCCATATGGCTATTTGTTTGGGAAATAGGTAGCAGCAGTTAGGTACTTAGATTAGGGCAGACTCTGCCGCACCGTTATTGATGGCACAATGATTTATTCATCTTGATGGTCATCTTGCGACGTTAAGGAGCCGTTTGGACGTCAAGTAATCCAGGAGCAGCGTCGTCGTCGGGGATCCAAGCTTTGACAAGCCTACAGTCGAGCCACGAGAATAAAAAAGCGACTGGAGTATCCGTACCTTATGTAGGTCGGTTGTTGACAAATATAGGGGCCTGGTTCGTTCCAGGGTCCATTAATGCCTGCTCGAGTTATGCAAATTGTGCTAGCGCAGTATATGCGTCAACATAGCAATCCATGGTAGGCGCGGACGGCGGCGCCTGCCGTGAAGGCACTGACAGCGACACTCATCGACACGTGCAGCCTCACCTTCTTCCCCTCACCGACCAACCTCACCTCAACTCATCTCGAAAGTGACTACGGACTTTTTTGTGAGGAACCTATTGCAACAGAAACGATGACGACCCGATACCGTGTAGAGTGTCAGTTGACGATACCTCTCGCTGCCCCACCTTCCCTCATGAGACTGACTACGACTCACAGATGCCCTCAAGACGCACAGGCGAGACCAATTCATCGGTACGTGAAGTGACTCATTCCTCGAGTCTCTCGTTGTTGCCCTGGACTATACAAGATCGGAAGTCCAGGTAGACTCCAGTTTCGATTGATCAGTTGGGCTGACCGACAACATAGAATGGGTCAAAGGCCTGCTAGCTGTCCCCTTTGTGCTCTACTCCGAACCTACGGGTGTTTTTGGCGATGGGACAGACGTCGACCAGTCAGCCGCAGAGGCGCACCGTCGCTATGCTGAGATCTTCCGAGATGTGGAACTCATGATTGACGACCATAGTAAGATCCCGCCGCTCGCAGCGCCTTTCAAGAATAGCACGCTGACAATTTTCAGTGTCGCGGCAGATTGACGCTTCCTTCCCATCCAAACTTCGCATGCTGGTACCAACAGCAGGACCCTTCTTCACAAGACTACCACTCGAAGCGGCATTCAAATACCAGGACCGCAAACGCTACATATCCTCCCGCCGATATGTTGCCCCCTCGTTCAACGATGTGCGATTGGTGTTGAACTCGGCCCAGATCATGGCTGTGACCGGCGGCGCGCTGCAGTTGGCGACATTTGATGGTGATGTTACGCTCTACGACGACGGAGAGAGCTTGGAGCCTGATAACCCCGTGGTCACACGATTATTGGGTAATTGGAATATTTTGCGCGTCTTTCGGACATGAGCACTAACAACAATGGCAGATCTCATGAAGAAGAATATCAAAATCGGCATCGTGACAGCTGCTGGGTACACAACCGCCGATCGATACTATGGGCGCCTCCACGGGCTATTGGACGCCATTGCGGAGTCCACTGAGCTTGACCCCGTGCAGAAGCAAAATATTGTCATCATGGGCGGCGAAGACAATTATTTATTCGAGTATTCACAGTCCTCGCCTCACCGATTGGCGCCTGTGCCCCGGGAGCAATGGCTCACGCCGGAGATGGCTGCCTGGGGCGAGGCTGACATTGCCGCCCTACTCGACGTGGCCGAAGGCGCGCTTCGAGACTGCGTCCGGACGATGAACCTGCCTGCCACCATTGTGCGCAAGGACAGAGCTGTGGGCATCATCGCCGTGGACCCGTCCATCCGGATTGCCCGCGAGTCCCTCGAGGAGACCGTCCTCGTGGTGCAGCGCATTCTGGAAGCCAGCACCCTCGGGTTTCCCATGACCAACAGTGCCGGCATGAACAACCGCAAAGGGTCGGTTTCGCGCGCCCGCATCCCTTTCTGCGCCTTCAATGGCGGGCGCGACGTCTTTGTGGATATCGGCGACAAGTCATGGGGCGTCACGGTGTGTCAGCAGTGGTTCGGGGCGGGCCCGGGGCGCAGCATCAAGGGGGAGAACACATTGCACGTGGGCGACCAGTTCCTGAGTGCTGGTGCCAATGACTTCAAGGCAAGGAGCGTGGGAACCACGGCGTGGATTGCGAGTCCCGCCGAGACGGTGGAATTGTTGGACGAGTTGGCTGAGTTGATGAATAAGAAGCTACCTTGAATATGGGAAATTAGATAAGATATTTACTTGACGATTCTTCCCAACCCTTTGTCGAAAGTATATCACCAGGCCCGGGCAGCTGACCACTGACTTTGGAAAGCCATGCCCTAGTGCAAGTCGAGAACTGCGCCTTGAGCTGAAGCACTGAGCTGCCTTAACCCACATGCTGCTAAAGCAATGACTGGAGCTACGGACTAGACTCGAGTGATGATCAATGAGGACGTGTATTCAATACCCTGGTACCATTATCTGCCTCTCACCGCAATCTCTATGAGACGAGAGCCTTCCACGTGAGGCAACACCCTGCAACAACGCCGGCACCGCAAACACCACCTCATCTCGCTCGTCGCCAAACGCCTCCATGCTTCGGAAGTAACAGAATATGCAGCCAGACCGTCTTGTTGGCTGACAGCATCCCAAGCTGAATCTATGTGCTTGCCACTTATGCATTAAAATTGTGATCGCAGATTGTAGTCACTGTTGTGTACAGCGTGCTTTGGCCAAAACATGAAAACAAAACTCTACTAATATCCTGGCTGGCCGGGCATCTTGCCCAGGGAATGCCCCTGGCTCTTGGCAGGCAGATGGCTGTGGCAAAACACTTTCTTGCTGCCGTTCCACGAACTTGCTTTGGTCGCGTCAATGAGCAAGCAAGGGTCATCATAAGACTCCACCTGGCAGCATTCGACCCCCTTCATCCATCGGTTGTTGATCACATCATTAATGTTGATTCGTTTGGCCGGATCGGGGTGCAGCATCCGCAACAACAGACGGCGAAGTGCAGGTGGAGTAATGCCGATATCAAAGGCCCTCTGGTGAGGATAATCGGTGTCTGTCATGGTAGCCCCAGGCTCATGCTTCGACTCCCACTTCTCCCAACCCTTGACGAGATCATCGTATTGACCATATCCGGGGGCGGCCTTCTCCCAAATGGCACCACCAAAGGTCAGGTAGATCAGAACCACCCCACTGCTCCACACGTCAAGGCCGCGAGGGTCATACTTGTCCTTCTTGGCGATGACTTCGGGCGCGATGTAGGGCAAGGATCCGCAGATGCCAGGGGAACACAGCCGGACCTCATCATCCATGTGTTGGCCACATTGGCCCCCAGCTTCGCGGAGCCCCGGGTGGGTACCAGAAAAGACCTCGGAAACACCAAAATCTGTGATCTTGAGCTTGCTGTCCGCTGTGAGGAGCAAGTTATCGAGCTTGATATCGCGATGCGCAATGCCGTGAGAGTGCAGATAGTGCACCCCCTGAACCAATTGCTTGAAGATGCAGTTGCGGTCTTTCCGCTTGTTATCGCCGAGGAAAAAGCCTTTTTGCACTAAGCCGAACAAATCGCCCTCGGAGCAATATTCCATGACGTGGTTCCAGCGCGAGTGGTTCTTGCAGAGGCGGAAGGTTTCGACAATATTGGGATGGTGCAGACTCTTGGCCAGGCTGAACTCGGACTTGACCTTCTTATCGTAGTAGTCCTGGGTTTCACTGCTAGATTTACCACGGAACTCCTTGACGGCGTAGAGTTCCTCCGGACAGCCCTTGCGCATCATCAACGTGACCTTGGAGGCAACGCCCTTGCCGATGTGCTTGCCGTGACGGCCAAGGAATTTGGACTGGTACTCAAACTCATCAGTGAGCTCAGCGACGTCCACCATGAACTCGTCGGGAAGGCTCAGGCTCATACGCCGAGCCTTGGTGCCGGTGCCAGCATCTGGTGCTAGTGCGAATGCCTGACGCTCGGCGGAGTAGGCGTTGTGGTCCGCGTGGTGTTGTGTGTGCGGCGATCGCGTCCGCGAGTTGGCGCGCTCAGAGTCAAAGCTGCTAGCACGGCGTGAGCGCGGGCGTGAAGACCGAGGCACCCCATTTCCATGCCCGTTGGGTGTGTTCGGAGTCAGGAAGTTGATTGTCTTGCCGCGGAGGGACAGCCCTGTCGACGAGCGGTTCTTCCTTTTGTTATCGAAATCTTTGGCACTAGGGAGCGCACTGTTTGCGCTAGGTGCAGGATGCAGGTTATTGATTCCGTCGGAAGGGCTATCAAGGGGCGATCCAGGCGAAGGCGGAGTGTTAGATCGTGTGGTTGTCGCTGACCTGTGGAAGGAGAACCGGCGGTTTGGTTTTGCCATGCCGTTGCTGGTCGGCGGGGGGCGATTCGCGACAGGAACAGCATTCCTTTTCGCGGGATCCTCCTGCGATTGACTTGCGCGCGGCTGAGGGTTGGACGTCGGTGGTGAGGCAGCATTGGCGTTGGCCTGCTGCTCTCCAGCAGCAAGGCTGGAATTGGAACGACGGAAAAGACCTGTCATTGTGCGTTTGAAGCTGGCCGTCGAATTACGGGTCGATCGTCGTGATAGAGACGGAGGATTGACTTGGTCCGAATCCTGCTGCGGTGGCTGCTGTGCCTGTTCGTCGGAAGAGGGGCGCCAAATGCTGCTTTGGTCGGCCGATGCCCTTGGCGGGAGCCGCGAGTCTTGCTGCTGAGGTCTCGAGTAATCGAATGAGGGATAGTAGTTTTCAGTCTGCGTCTGCTTTACGGTGGTGAACTGCGGCGAGTGACTGCTGGTCGGAGTGAGAGGCTCTGTAGGCGAGTCTTCCGAATCGGCGCCCTCCTCGAGGATAGCGTCGGGCGAGAAGTCGCTGGGTATTTGACGAGGCGAGCTGGGGGTATACGAGTTGGTGGTGAGCGAGTCTGATGTGCTAGTATTGCATGATTTCTGGAGTGTCTGTCCTGTCTGAATTCCGAGAGGCTTTGTGGCGGTCCCATCTGAGGTAGGAGATATATATGTCAGCCGTTGCCTGGGGAAATGGCGGCCAGGAAGGTGTAAGTCTAAAGGTAAAGAGAGAAAACGCTTTAAACGTGCGACGGGGCGGGATTGAGCCGGTGCTGGCACTGCTCGTGGAGGTAGCGTTGGGGAGAGTGATGAGTGGAAGAAGAGGAAGAAAGACTGGAGAGCGGACGTTGGCTCAGGCTGGCTGGCAGCTGGCTGGTTGGTTGGTGGGGGGGCGGACGAGGGCCGTTAAGGTGAGGCTTTTCGTGAGGTGGGCAGGAAGCGCGGGTCACGTCACTGCAGGTGCATGCGTAGGCACTGTGACGACACACTGTGACACCGCCAGGAACCCTGCTCGGCTTGGCGTGTGGGGGGAGATTGCACTGGGAACGGAAATCGGACTCGTCGCTTTCAGTACGTATAGACGCCGACTAGACACAGTGCTGGGCTCTGGCTGCCAGCTACCAGCTACCAGACATGTTATACTGTATTCAAACAGTAAGCACGATTACCAAGTGACACTAATCCAACTGGTAATCATCCATGTGCTGGCTGTCGATGTCCGGTCCTCAGGGCACGGCACTGTCGGGTACTGTAAGATAGAGGGTATCCGCTGTAACACAGCGCTTCTCCAGCAGCTGATCCACTGGAGGGGCAAATGGCCGGGCCAGGAGCTGACAAATTAAGACAGCACTCACCTTGTGCAGGGTATTGCTGTCGCCGCTGTTGAACAGCAGCCGCTGCTCCGTCTTGGGGCGCCATGCTCAAGAAGAGCGACGAAAAGAATCCAATGAGATACAGTCGACCAGCAGTTAAACTCGAGTAAAGCCTGCGCGGAGGATTTCGAGCAGAGGTCTGTCTGTTCGTGTCCTGTCCCCTCCTCCGGCAAAAGGGACGTCAGGGTCGATTCGACAGGATAAATAAAGCCAAGCTTGCGCCGAGTGGGTGTCGTCGATGCCTCGATGTGATGGACTATTGGGTAGTCCGAGTCCGTACGTCGGTGGCTGGATGCGCTCCCTCGGGTTCGCGTGCGGACTAAACAATAACCTTGCTGTAGAATCGACCAATGTTGATCTTCCAAAAGGCTGTGTCTCCTTGTCTAAGTCCACTTTCGCGTGCGGACTAACAAACAATAACCTTGCTGTAGAACCGACCAATGTTGGCCTTCCAAAAGCTGTGTCTCCTTGTCAGAGTCCACTAGCCACTCGCGTGTTGGAAGCGATACTGACTGCTCAAGGGCTAACAAAATCTCAAGGAGTGTTCGAAAAGGGACCGGGTCCTCGTCTTGTATTGCCAGTCGCTGCTACCCCAAGGTCCCAGCTTGTGTTGAGGCGTCCTTTGGACTTGTACGTTTCCTGGTCCGGCTGACTGTATCGGATGAAAGCCCGTGCCATCGATCAAGTGAGTTGGCTGGCTCACTGGACACTACGACTCCAAGGGTCGTTGAGTATTCTGGCGCGCGGGTGCTCCAACAAGGACTTGTAAGTCGGGAGTCAATGGGCTCGTGTGAGAAGAGGCAGAGGGCGACAAAGAAGATGGCACTTGTGCTAAAGGAGTCTTGACCGAAAACAAAAACAGATAATAGAGACTGTCAAGAGTTTTCTGATCATGAAATTTGTTGATGACAGGGCAGAGCAGCTTTTGAATGTTTGATTGCCGGGGGCGTCGCTACGTTATGAAGGCCCCATCATCAACGACATGGAGCCACGCTACCGCCCACGCCTCCACGTCTTCACGATACATGCGAGAGGCTGGCCTACTACGGGGGGCGTCTGTCCAAGATTGGATGAGACAGACAGACCCGTGCCTCCACCCACCATCATGTCCAGTCATTTGTTGCTGTTATACGTGTAATAAGTTGCCCACTGATCAAGATGGGCATCTCGCGCTTGATCTTCACCTGGGCGCTACTCAATCAGGACATGGTCGGCCTGCCGGCAGTTACTAAATACATACAGCGCAGTATTGAAGTATCATCTTCCAGATCATGATGGCCTCAGTCTGCTTCACGACCCGAGTAATAACCCACGTCCGTACTGTACTCGATACTGTACTAATAAGCAGGGGGTTCAGCACCCCTGGGACCCTGGGGCACTTGGCAGCAGCATCATCGCGTCCGCTGTTCGTCGGCTGGAGTTCGACCCTGGATGGCATTCCATCATTGCACAGAGCCGCACACCTTCTACGCATGTTGCCTTCAAAGCGACTGGTGCTGACGACATCTTCAGCGCGGGCAGCAGGATATGGAGGTGGCACGTTGTCGCACCGCCAGTTGTGAATGGCGTCTCATCCGTGTTCACGGGGTCACAGATCTGCTAGGCTAGTCAACAAAGGACGCATTTGCATTTGAGGTCTGTCCGTTGACGGTTGACGTGGGGAGTTTTGGTCTGGGACCGCGCAATGTCGGCTGGGGCGGCGGATAATGCGGTCTTGTTTCCACCGTTCTTTATTATCGTGCACGAGACCTATCAAAGGCATGGAGGCCAAGATCGCGCCTCGTCTAACGACTGGCGCCTCTTCGATCGTGCGGCTGATGCACCTGCTCGGCTGGCTATTCCCGTTCGCCTGCACGCGCTGAACCCCAGCATCCCACATCGCGAAGTCTGATTGGGACCAAACGGCAGGGACGGCAGTCGCCCGTCTTTCTGAGAACGCCATGCTGTGAGAGATGCGTACTGTGCCGTGACCTCTCTGCCCACGGATCTTGTTGCCGGCATAGTCGCCCCTATCAAAATCATGCACTGTGTCTGGAAGAGAAGCTGAGTACGCTTCTCTTGGAGTCTTGGTGGTGGACCGTAGTGTTGGTGCCACTTGGTGGTGAAGTTGAAGTGATGAATGGGGGTGCGGGTTCGGCCCGGTGCTCACTTGGCGGCGAGTCGGCGACTAGAGAAAGGCTCACCTGAATCGTCATGAATAAAATTAAGGATAATTACTCCGTAGTCCGGTGTCCAATGTCCGCCCCTGATAACGCCCTGCACTAACTACGTACTGCGCGCCGAGCTCGACAGTCACCGCGAAAGGTAACAGGAATGGAGTCGCTTTGAGTTATTGGGGAATGATCGTCAACCCTAACAGGACGCCATGTCACGGTAACGACCCATGCCAGATTCCGGCACTGGTCAGTCTGGTGGCCGGCATATCTCGTCCACGATGCGACGACATACCATACAATCACAGTCGTCAAGAAGCTGTGAAGCCTGTGATCATCGCTGTCCAATGTTACAGTGGCGATCGACCATCGTGTCTCGGGGAGAGAGTTTTTAGCTTAAACTTAAGGCTGTTTCGCTGTGCTCCCTGGCCAGGCTGGCTGCCTCTTGACGTCTTGATGTCCACGTTGGCATGCCGTCCCGTCTGGTGAGACCGGTAGGCACCGTTCCATCAGGAGGTTGAATCATCTGCACTGCCTTGCACTTGTACGTATCATGAGCACCAACCGTTGGGGAAGGCATGAGGCCTCCCGTGGACGTGCACACGCTCATTCCAGGGAGGTGGAACAAGTTGATGACGCTGCATCATCAAGCAACAGATCGCCCAGGACATATCCAACGAGTCAGCACCCAACGAAAGGTGCCACCCCAAGCCACCACGGCTCAAGGCCAGACAAGAGGGTGTAATTAGTTCGATCGTGGCCTTCTTACACCGCAATGTTTCGCCGACGGTCAAGAAGGAGTAAGGTGGCGGACAAGAGGCACCACGCCCAGCGTGCGCTGTCACGATGCGGGCAGACGGAGCAGCAGGAGCACCAGTCAGTGGACGTTGAGACTTGTTATTTGGTCATTATGCGTGCGCGTCAGACTGAGGCTCTTCCGCCGTGCTCGCTCTCTGCTTCCAAGCCGAGCGGATTCTCCTGCAACTTTGCACATCATTCTGCAGAGTGTCGTGTCGGGTGCTGAACCCTGGGACTGGGACGCGTCGCCACTGTGTCGAGGCTGGCAGCGATGATCACACACGGGACCAGCACGTAACCAACATGAGCCCTACGCGCAATCTGGACTGCGTCATTGCTGTCGAGGCAGGGCTGTTCTGAACTTGAAGTTGAAGAGAGGGATACGTTTCTGGTCACGTGCGTGTCGATGCTGCCAAGCAGGCCCTGGCCTCCATCGGACGTCAATGTTGCGCGCCCGATGCCGTGCGACGCTCAATCCGTATGTCGGTGTGCGATGCATAGCCGCAGTCCACCCGCCCCCACGCTGAACAGCCTGTGAGAGCTGGACATGTTCGCTGAATTACATGTCTCTTGCTTGCTCATGGCATGGAGTACCCCGGAGAAAAGCTGGCATCCAGCTCTGCCCGACAAAATTGCTGACCATCGACCCCGCTACTCCATGTCCCCCACATTGGCGCTCTCATCATGGCGTTTCCTGCGGCCACACTTTTATGTCTTCCAATTCAGGCTCCTGCATACATGCTCATCTCGCATCTCACACGTAACAAACCTCACCTTCTCAATCCAGCTTCGAGCCCACCATCACAGACGCAGTCATGCGGAGTCTGCACGAATATTCGGAACACTAGCCTCTCGATTTGGTGATGCCAAGCTCGCTGTGCTCTACTGACTGTCCGGGCACTCCGCCGAGGGCTGGAGCGCAAGGGAAGAAGAGCAAAGCACAGTACAAGTATGTAGCCATGAAGACATGCGTACGTATTCGGGTGCCTCGTTTCGAACAATGCGAGCTAACAATTAATATGCGAAGGAGAGAAGCAGGAAAATGCCTCAAGGCGTCTGGCTGGAAAGTGGCTGCGTCGTCCATTGGCTTTCCTCCTTTTATTACTCATTAGCTCGCTCCCCCACGGGGAACGACATGCAAGCGTCCATACGCCACGGACTGTGACAGACTGCAGCCAGCCATCAGAGCCCTAGCTTTCCAGCGTGAAAGGGAGCGCGATCTGCCTATGATGGACAGACTTTGCTTTTTCTCAAAGCTCAACAAAACATCGGGGGAAATCCCATCTCGTGCCGGCCTCGCCAGACATTGCTCCCGGCGGCTAAATGCACGGGCATGAAAGCTTGTTCCTCGCTGGTCTTGTCCCGAGAGGCCGGCCTATTCTTGGCTCACGATGTGTCGTCTTGGTCGGTCTAGATGCTGGCCTCTTCCCCCCACGGGGAATACATGGCTGAGAGTCATAAGCGCGCCGCTTAGGAACCAGGTCAGATCAGCGTACGTGGATCGGCTGGCACGCTGCATTGCTGTGCATGTCCTATTACCTGGACATGGTACTTGAATGCTTCTTCGAAGCTAGCATCCTCCATGGCAGCACAGGTTCCTCCACAGTGTCCATCTCACAAGTGGCTCGGCTGAGTTGTGCCGACCCCACGAGCTGGCACAGCAGGCTTAGGGGTGATGTTGATCCTCGCGGGGTAAGCACGCCTTTGAATGATAATTATTTAGTTAGATCGGTTGAGGCGTCGCCTTCAGGTCTATATAGACGGCCCCGTTGGTTGAACAAGGCAATCGCACTGAGATTGAATGCTCTTCACGTTTGACCGGTCAGCGCAGAGCGGTCAAGGCGATGGCTTGGAGGTAGCACAACAGGATGTGATGGAGGTTTGGCGTTGATTACGATGCGGCATGCGTACTGTGTTCAGACGTATTCGTATGCAAGCCCACCTCTCACCATCGTACTTGTAGTCACGTTCAGCCTTCCTTGATCCGTTGTCTCCCAGAGAAATGCACGAGAGCCGCAATACGCTCAATGCCATAGGGCAATGACTCAAATAATGGCGCTGGGGTAGAAGCCAAGGTCCAGAATTGGATGTTGTC